TGTCCTTACTCCACACCCTTGTCTTGTCGTCTCCCGTCCGTAAAAGGGGAGGGCCAGCCCCATAATTCTCACGTTTCCTTTTATTTTTTATCATGGTCAAATTCACGTAACAGGATTAACCCATTAACCGTTTTAAGTGAACATCTCAGAGCCTTTTGGCACATTCACAGTGAGGCAGACATCGCCACCAGCTCCAGAACTTTCTCATTATCCACATCAGAAACCCCGTACCCACTAGACAGTCCTCGCCACTGTCCCCTCCCCCCAGTTCTGGGAGCCACTAACCTGCTTTCCATCTCTTGGCATGTACCTGTTCTAGACATCCCATATAGATGGAATCAGCGTGTGGCCCTTTGTGTCTGGATTCTTGCACTGAACATCCTGTTTTTGAGGTTCATCCACTTTGTAGTATCTGTCAGTACATCATTCCTTATTTTGGTGTGGAAGGGCTCCATGGTGTGGACAAACCCCAACTGGCTGCTGATGGCCACTCGGGTGGCTTCCACCCTTGGCATTGTGAATGGCACTGATACCACTGTGCGTGGGTATGCATCTGTTTGAGCTCCTATTTTCTCTTCTTTGGGGGTGTACACGTAGGAAGGGAATTGCTAGGGGTGCCCAGGCGGCTCAGTCAGTTGAGCGTCCGACTCTTGGTCTCAGCTCAGGTCTTGATCTCACAGGTATAAGTTCGAGCCCTGCACTGGCTCCACACTGGGCATGGAGACTACTTAAAAAAAAAAAAAAGGAGTGGAATTGCTGGGCCATGTGGTAACCTGTGTTTAACTTTCCAGGAACCTGGAAGTCTTACAGGCTAGGGATTTAGAAGGTGGTCTCTGGCTCCTTCCTCCCTCTCAACCCTCACCCACTAGGTGCCCCCCGACATGCCTCAGGAACCCCCCTCTTCAGTTCACAGTGACCCCAGCACCCCAGCATCTCACTGACTGTGGCTTGTTCTGTGCACCCCTCCCCTTGTCCTGTCCTGGCTGACCAGGACCCTTCTGAATGAGACCGGAGCGCTGGGCTCCCCTCCACACACACAGAGGGTCTCCAGCCAACCCTGGGCCTCACCTTCCCTTCCACTCCTCGGTGATGTCCCAGACGCCCTCCCTGTGCACCCGACTCCTACCCATTCCACGTCTCATCACCCCTGAGCGCTTGCTCAAGCCTCGACCTCCTCTCTCCTCCGTGGCTTCTGAAAATCTCACCTTTGAAGGTACAACGCGGTGACCCCGCACTGGCATCGTAACCCCCACCAGAATGAATCTGCCTCTCTGCATTCCCACTTGCACCTTTTTGTACCAGCAAAAGTCATGATCTCATCCCACCATGTACAGAATTACTTGTTGACAGTGAACTGGAAAATTTTTATGTACGCATCTCACCAGGTTATTTTAAGGATTTATTGACATGAAGGGGAAAGCAGCCTAGTACATTAAATTCTCCCATGGTCTTCCCCTCCTTCTTCTGCCACTAAATTATGAGCCTCAGGAAGAGAGGAGCGTTTTACCCATCTCAATACTTACATGATGCAGTGCCTTGCCTGTAACAGGCACCTAATTAATTTTTGTTGATTGAATTAGCGAGCTAGAGAAAGCGAGCGCATGACATCAGTTCTTCTGATTGTTGGAAACGTATTGTGCCGAGAATTCATGTCTGATAGAGATCAGGTTTTGTTATAAGGTCAATTTCAACTGCAGGCCACCGAAATGTCACCACCATATATTTCCCATTGTGACATTTTGTAATTGAAAGTGTGCAGGTGCGACTCTCACTTTTGCAGAGCATTCAAATGTTAATATGAGCGTTCTCAGAGATTCTCGCATTTTCAAACACATGTTTAATGGAAATTAAATTGTGTGGAGTCTTAAGTGCTCCCGCTTGAGACAAATGGCTTTAAATGAGAGACAGCAGCCGCTTGTTCTGCATAGTCACCGTGCTGCTAAATTAACAGGCTTGCTTTGAGCTGGATATGCTGCTGGAATAGATTTAAAAAAAAAAATCCATTGAGTTATCAAGGAAAGAGTATGGTTTATCAGTTAATTTATGGTCACACGTTCCAGACCCGTGCTCTCCCCGATAACATTTTCTCTGGTGAAAAGCAACAAAATCTCCTCTCTGAACGAGACCATTTGTATTCATCAAGCCCCAGGATCTTACTGCAGCGAGGTGTTTTGTTATTCGCTGAATTAATCAATGTTGTAATGAGCAAAAGCAAGGGCTTTGGGGTCGGACAGTCCCAGGCATTCCTGTAACCAAGGCCAAGTCATAACCCTTCCGAAATTCCATGGTCTCATCTCCAAAACGGGGGACACCCTCCCCGCTGGATGGTTGGGCACATTGAGGGGGATAAAGTGCCCTCCAGAATCATACCCAGCGCCCTGAGATGACAGTCACTTCCACCTGGGATCTGACCGCATCCCAAATCGGCCGCCACTGGGAAAGACTTCATCCTTAGCCACCCTGCCGGCTCAGGTCCACCTGCAGTGCTGAAGAGGAGAGCCACAGGCAGGCACTCCCAGGGCACCCCAAAATGTGGAGCTCGGTCTGAGTCTCTAACCATGCTGTGAGCCGGACTCTATAAGCAAAAGAAATCCAGATACTCAAGCAAGCTTTAAAAAAAAAAAAAGGTTGGGAGGAGGAAAAGACGGTGGGGGGAGCTCTCTTCTGGACCCGGAAGATGGGAACACTTCTCCCACAGTCCTGATGTTTCCTTTCATTTGGAGGGACAGCTATGAGCCTGACACTCCTGGCCCTCCCCCCACCGCACCAGCTCCTCCCCCCCCCCCCCCAGGGATAGGGGGACTCAGCTTGGCCCCAGCAGGCCCAGCAATGCACGGTGTGCACGCGGCCCAGGCAGGGCTGCAGGCTTGAGGTGGACCCAGGGAGCCTCTGCGTCCAGGACCCTCTACGTCCTCTCCTGCAGCTGCTTCTCGGCTGCACATTGTTCTGAAACACCCGGTTTGCATGCCGGCTCCTCTCATGGGGTAGAGGGGGCCCCCGGGTGGCTCAGTGGTTAAGCGTCTGCCTTTGGCTCAGGTCGTGACCCCAGGGTCCTGGGATGGAGCCCCACATTGGACGCCCTGCTCAGTGGGGGGCCGGCTCCTCCCTCCCACTTGTGCTCTCTCTTGCTACCCCCCCAAATAAATAAATAAAATCTTAAAAAAAAAAAAGATGAAGCAGGGGGTGGACCCCACAACTCCCAGGGCTCTGGCCTATCCCCGTCCAGGCTGCGGCCAGTGGGGCACACAGCACAGACACGGCTGCCAGGTATGCACCCCTGTAGACAGAAGGGGGACGTTTCTGAGAGCAGGGAGGCACGGTGTGCTGAACAGACACCCCAGAGTTACCTCCTGCACCCACTTCCCAGGAAGCACCTCAGTTGTCTCATCTGTGAAGAGTTGACACTGGCAGAGCCACTCATCCCCTGGGGCTCTGGGGATGAAACAGGGTGGTGTCTGCAGCACAGCTAGGTGCTCAGGACATGGTTGTGCTTGGAGGGCAAGCACTGCCCCTGACCGATCCCTGTGCCCAGTGCCCACCGGAAGGGTAGAGGGGCGTGTAGTAGGTGAGCTGTGAATATTCACGGAATGAGTGAGTCTCCAGCCAGTGCCAACACCGCCTCCTTTGTTCAGTCCTTGCTTCTAATATTGTCCCACGTCCCGTTAGCTCTGGGGGTACTGGGTCAGGAGCACTGCCTGCGCATCGTCCTGAGTTTGGTCCCAGACCCCCCCCCCACGTGTCCTCACCCTGCTGCTAAGCCCACCGCCACCTCAAGTTGGCACTTCGTCCGTGCTTTGTTGCAGAGTAAATGGAGGGACATGTGTGAAGTGTGAGGACTCAGTGACTCTGGGGTCAGACCTGTTTTCAGACCCACCATTAACCTCTCTGTGCCTCAGTGTCCCTATCTGTAAATAGGGGACCACAAAGCCTTGTTGTGAGCACTCATAACAAAGATGAATGTCAGCAGTGTCCTATGCAAAGAGCTTAGCCCAGCGTGTGGCATGCAGAGAGGACTTGGGAAACAAGCTCCCTGAGTCGTGAGAAGTGAATGGCTCCATCGCTGTTCTGAGATCCAACACGATACACCTGAAAATACATGCTCCAGATACCAAAGCAGGGGTTTAACAAGAAGACCCACAAACCAAAAGATGCAGGGAGAACACACCTGAACGGTGGCCTGGGGATGGGGTAGGGGGGAGTGTAAAGGAAAACAAACCAGGTGGGGAGGGGTTGATCCAGGCCCACAAAGCAAAGAGTGACTAGCAGGTCTAGCCAGGGAGGGCAGGACTGCGGAGGGGTCTGGGGCAGTTCAACACGGGGGGGCATGGGAGCTCAGAACCCTCGCTCCCTGGGTTTCAGAGCAGGGTCCCACGTCCAGGGGAAGCCCCTCCATCTCCAGCAAACTCGAGAAGGCTGGTCACACTAGAGACATGCACTCCCCGATACTGCACTGGGTCCCGAGATTCCCAGACAGCCCTGGGGACCAGTGTTCTGTGTGGGGACAGGGCAGGGGGGCCCAGCCTCCCATGTCGTGTGGCCACTACATCTGCTCCAAATCTTCCTCCATCTGAGCCCTCCCATCTTGCAGACTGGGCCTGCTTGTCCTGGATGGATGATGCCCTGAGCTTGTCAGCTCGCTACAGGGGGATCTCTGTCCCCTTTCTCTGGTTTTCCACCTAGAAAATGTGTATAAGGATGCTGCCCAGGGTGTGGTCAAGGCCAAATGAAAACACCTGTGAACAGGCTTTGCTCTTTAAAGAACTGCTATAATTAACGTGAGTCTTGAACTCATGACCCAGACAGCAAGAGTCACATGCTCCTCTGACACCCAGCCAGGTCCCCCTGTCCTTTGATTTTTCAAGTGTATGTTCATTATGAAAGCAAAGGACGGGATGTCAGAAGAACCTTCTCCACTACATGGGGTGTGGCAGGGAGTGGGATGCTTGGCGACAGGAAGGTGCTGGTGGCTGGCCTGACTGTGCGTTTCTGGTTTCTTTCAGGGTGGAAGCGTGTGAGGGAGGCCTCTGTTCCTGCAGGAGAGGACCATGGCCTTCATGTTGCTCCGCCGGCGGCTGCCCTGCACCTTCCAACACAACTACCGCCTGCTCGCACCCAGTAAGCCGTGGGGGGTCTTGGCAAGAACCGGTCCTGATGGGAAACACAATCCAGACTGGGGTTGGATGGGCTGGGACAGCCGTTGGGGTAAAGGGACTGGCCAGCCAGTGCCTCGGGGGCTGTCTTCCCCTCATGCACATTAAAACTGTCCCCATCACCACCACCCCCATCTCCCATCCCCGCCATGAGCTCCTGGCCTGAATGAACAGCTCTGTAGCGAGCAGGAAGCTGATCGGGCCTGGAGCCACGCTGCTGACTTGAGTGGTGGCCCCAGCAGCTGGAGGGTCCAGGTTGTCCTCATAGGGACTGTTGGGGAAAACATATAGCTGAGCTTGCTGCCAAGAAGCAAGAAGGCTATAAGCATCCTCGTGATTGACCTAAAGGCTAGGTGTACTTCAAGGGCACTGGATAGGAGGCGGCCGCCCCCACCACCCCCACCGCCCTCGCCCTCACCTCCACCCCACACACCCAGCTGGCTTGCCCACCCTTCTGCTACATCTCTTCTCACTGAGTTCAGGCAGCTTAGCTAGGCTGGCCTCATCAGCTTGCAGGCTCTCATGAGACCCCTCCCAGTAGCCCCATGAGGAAGGCACGCATGAATCCCGTTTTACAGGTGAGGAAGCTGAGCCTCAGAGAAGCCAATCACATGACCAATTGAATGCAAGTCAGTCTGGCTGCAAACACTGGGTTATCATCTCTCCTCCATGTGTTTCCTTGGGGCTTTGGGGGGAGAGGGGCTAGCGGCAAGCCCCTTAGGGGAACCCTACACCCCACCCCCAGCCTGTTGCATCCTCTCAGAGCCCCATGCTTTGTCATCGTGGTGTCCCTTTCTTGCTGGTCTCATCTACCTTCTGAAGACTAAGAGCTGGCCATGGCCTTGGTTGGCGTGTTGAATGCTGGTGTTTATGTCCCAGGTGGGATAAAAAGCAGGTGTGTTGTGTTCTCTCTCTCTCTCTCTCTCTCTCTCTCTCTCTCTCTCTGTCACACACACACACACACACACAGGAGTATTATATTAGGTTTGGTTTTATTTTTTTATTTTTTTATTTATTCATGAGAGACAGAGAGAGAGAGAGAGAGAGAGAGAGAGGCAGAGACATAGGCAGAGGGAGAAGCAGGCTCCATGCAGGGAGCCCAACATGGGACTCGATCCTCGTTCTCTAGAATCACACCCTGGGCTGAAAGTGGCACTAAACTGCTGAGCCACCTGGGCTGCCCTAGGTTTGGTTTTAAAATAAATCTTTTAATTTTGGTTGATCTTACAAGTACAGAGAAATTACCAAGATAGTACAGAGATCCCATGTGCCCCAGTGTCCCTCACAATTACCATGCTGCATCACCAGGCTGCCCTTGTCAGAACCAAGAGGCTGACCTCGTACATTACTATTAACCAACCTCTAGACTTCTCTGGATTTTACCAGCTTTTCCCTTGATGCCTCTTTAGATCCCAGAATCCCGCCCAAGTTCCCAGAGCGCACTTAGTTGTCACGTGGTCTCCTATGGTCTGTAAAGGTTTCTGCCTCCCCTTGTTCTTGACCTTAATAGCCTCCAGGCATTAGGTTTTGGGGTTTAATTTTGTCTTATTCAGTTATAAGAGAAGCACATTAACACTTACCCATTATTATGTTAAAAGTAGACTGAAACCTGACTCAAATGTCGCAGGTTTGATGTGTTCCAAGCAGAAGGGAGAATCGTCCCTAGCGGGTACTGTTGAACACCTACTAGGTGCTGAGCACTGTGCCAAGTGCCAAGGATACAAGAGAGAGTGGCCTGTGAGACACCAGCCTGGTGGCTCCCCTTTTGCTGGTCACTCTCAAGGCCATCTGGGCCTCCCCAGGGAGACAGCAAGGAAAGAGCAGTAGGTCAAGACTCCTACAACTGGGCCCCATTCCATCAAGTGAGCCTGACCAGTGGGCAGGACCTTGAGCCTCCCATTTCTCATCAGGAAAGTGGGGATGGTCCTGGTGTCCTCCCTCCTTTCATATGTCTTCTATCAGAAGGAACAGTTCATGTGAAAGCACTTCATTTATGCTTATACTAGGTGGGAAGTGGCCTTACTCCCATTTTACAAGAATTGATAGGGAGACACAATGAAAAAAGGAGACAGAAATGATTAAATCAGAGGTATCAGCTCTGCATTTTCTTGGCCAGAGCTGAATCTTTTTTGGCACACTTGTACCAGATATAGAGAACCATACTGTGAGATTTTTTTTTCTTTTCTTTTAGCTTGTCAATTAAAGATAACTAGTCATAGATTGATGGGTAGGTAGATAGATATGAGTCTTTTAATACTAAACCATAGTGTTGGCAAAGATACAGGTACATGTGGACTCATACACTGCTGATGGGCAAGGAGCAATAAGGAAATAGTTTTTAAATGATAGCTAACCTTTAATCCATTTAGTCCCCTGGGAGAGGAAAGGGAGACTCAGAGAAATCATATAACTTCCTGGAGCTTCAGTATTAACAAGTGGCTGAACTAGGCTTTGAGTTGAGAGCCAGGCTGGCCCCAAAATTTGCAGCGTTAACCACTGTATTAGTTATTTATTGCCTTATGACAGCCCCAAATTTAGCAGGTTAAAGTAATGTGCATCTATTATCTCACAGTTCCTATGGATTAAGAATCTGGGGGGCAACTTAGCCAGATGCTCAGGTTCCAGGTCTTTCATGAGGGTGCAGCTAAGCTGTTAGCCAGGGCTGTGGTCTCATCAGAAAGCTCACCTGGGAACTGGGGGATCCATGTCCAACCTCACTGCCGTGGTTCTGGCTGGATTTGGTGCCACATGGACATCTCCACAGAGCAGCTCACCACACAGCACCTGCTTCTCCAGAATGAGGGAGAGCAGGAGGGTGCTTCAGCCCCCCAACACACCCACTGTGTTTAGGTGTTTGTGTGGTGTCTCCACCTGTCGGATCACTTGGAAACTGTTAGACACAGTGGCTTATGGCTGAGACATGGCCTTGTTTCACGCCCCATCCCCCCAAATCACTGATGATCGTGTACTGGCAAATGGAGTGCAGAGACTGGGAGACTAGACAGCAAAGCAGTTATCTCTGGGTGGTGAAATTATTGATATTTTCCTCAATGACCATGTTATCAAAAAAAAAAAATAGGTGGCATGCTGTCTCCCTGAGAACAGGAGAAAGAGCTGGAACTTCGCAACTCAGAGGCAACATAGTGCACAATTCCCTCTGACCATCCCATACCTTTGATGCATTTGGCAAAAGACCTGACCAGCCCAAAGAGTCCCCTGCCCCTCCAGAGAAGCAGGATGCTCAGGCAAGTAATGCAGGAGACCCTCTATCACCAAGTTCATCCTCAGCTCCTGCGGTCTCCGGTTTGGCAGATGCAGACACAGATAGTAGCTGTGCCTTCAGGGCTCAGCAAAATGACTACCAGGGAACCAGAAAGAAACGAAGAGCCACTGGGGATGGATCGGCCCCTGGGTCCCCATCATCCACAGGAGTCCCTGTCCAAGTAGCCACTTCTTCTGCTTTCCCAGTCTGCCACAGTGTTCCTGTTCCCAACGCCTCAGTTCAGGTTAAAGGAGAACCCACATCTCCTGAACAAGACGAGAATGTGAATGCTGTGTCACGAGGCTGTGACTTGCAATGTGTCCAAGGAATTACTGCAAGCTAACAGGGAGAACAGTGCCAGTGGTCTAGTTCATCCAGCCATCCCCGCAACATCATCCTTCTCAGGGCTCACAGAAGATTTCCAGGAGCCTGGCCAAGAACTGAAGTTCTCCGTGGACCAAGGAAACACCAGGAACAGAGGAGACGCCCCTCTTCATAATCAACCCCTCCCTCCACCAAACATAGTTATTTTAAAAAGGTGAAGAGCCACCCAAAGACAACAGTGGGTCTTCCAAGGTTGTGGTTTGCATCAGAAGCACCCTTGGAGAAGGAGGCCCACTCTCCAGCTGGCCGGCCTGCACATGGGCAGAGTCCACTCTGACATCAGCTGGGAAAGAAACTCAGGAAGAAGGCTCTGTGGGCTGCCCACTTCCTGAAAACAGTGACACTGGGCAGAATGTGTCTACCACTAGCCCTGCAAGGGAGGTAAAAACAGGAAGGTCAACCAAAGTGGCGACCCTGGGAAGGCAACAGAACTAGCCCCAAACAAGTGTCAGGGATGAGAAGTCCTAGAAATTCCTAATGCTCAGTTTCAGGCAGTGGCCATTGATTCCTCTGACTCTGGACAAGAGAAGCCAGATGGTCATTCTAGAAAGGATACTTGAGACTCCACAGAGAGAACTCATTAGAAACGCGTCGTTGTGGTTGTGATGCAGTTAGCTCTACTAGTGAGACTGGCCCTCGCTGTAAAGGTGGTGTCCCTGTAGGTATGGCACAAACTCTGTGTTCTCCTCCATGAGGGGATCAAATAACTCTTTACAAGTATCCTCAGAGCCCGGAGATGATGGGGGTTGCCCCCCGAAGGAGCTCTGAGGAGCACCCAGCCTCAGTGAAGAATGCAATGCAGATGCTTGAGAACTTGCCCGTTCAGCAGAGGAAAGTGTCCGAGCTCCTGTCTGGTGAGTCACAAGTGCGTGGTGTCTCTGAGGGCTGTACCCCTGAGTGAGCTGCCCCCTGGATCCTGAAGCCTCTGGGGAGTCTCTGCCCTTCACACTGGCCACAGCGGCCGCACCGTCTGCTGCTACAGCGCCACAACGTGAGGGTGTGTGGAGCAGCCACAGCTGGAAGGGCCACACTAGATGGCCAGTCCTCTGTGCGGGTCTGGCGGACGCCCTGTGGTCACCTTCAACATAAACAACAAACCAGACCTCGAGATCTTTGAATGCCGTGGCCCCCGGGCTGTCAGCCGTCTCACCACAGCTTAGGAAGGGGCCCCAAAGCAGGTCGTTGTTGGGTCTCGTGCATGTACCACTAGATGCATGGACCGGAGGCGTCAGAGGACCCCAGCAAACCGTTCTTTGCACGAAGGTGGTATATGGCCTCGTGTTCAGGGGCTCCTGCCCAGACCACTCAGCCCATGCCCACAGCATTCATACTGGTGACCTTGCATGGATCTGTGAGAGTCACAACGGGAAACCCTGTGCGAATGTCCTAGCAGAAGTGATGGTGGCTACTTGCCTGGAGAAATTTGTCCGTGTCTGTGGGGTACAGTCGCACAGTTGATGGGAGGTGTTTGGAGGACACAAAGATGTGGTTATGTGTGTGACCATCCACAGGAGTAAGACTCATACCGACTGATATCATGCCAGGATTCAGGCCACGAGGCTACATCCGACGCAGACTTACCGCTCTCGTGGCACGGTTGCTCTCTGACGTTTGGCCTTTGTAGCTTGTTCAGAACAACATCTGCTCGCTGACTGCACGAGCCCAAACTTTCAGACCCTGAAATGTAGCTGCAAGAAGTGCAATGCTCTTCTCACTGCGAGGAGGGAATCCAAACAGGTTGCTGCAGGACACCCAGAACGACGTGCGGAGAATAACAGCAAAACTGATTCATCAAGTTTTTTGCCTCTCATCTTGGGAGGTCCTTAAATTGAACTAACTTCACATCAGCCCCACACAGAGGCCCCAGTTTTCCCTTCTGCACAGAAACAAGGGAAAGAGGAAGTGGCTTGCAGCCGAGTGTGCCAGCAGCAGAAGTCTGGGCACGTCTATGAGAAGAAGGTTACACTTGAAGTGCTTACTGGAGGCTTTGTCAGATTTTAGGGAACAATGCTTCTCTGGGACAGAGTAGAATGTAATAATTATGCTACTGGTAGGCTCCAGATGTTTATCAAAGATATAGATCTTCATCGGTTAAAAAATAATAATAAAGGGATGCCTGTGTGGCTCTGTGGTTGAGCACCCGCCTTCATTTCAGCTCAGGGCGTGATCCTGGAGTTCAGGGATCGAGTCCTGCATCGGGTTCCCTGCATGGAGCCTGCTTCTCTCTGCCTATGTCTCTGCCTCTCTCTTTCTCTGTGCTCTCATGAATAAATAAATTTTTAAAATCTTAAAAATATATATAATAATAATAAGTAGGGTGGACAATTGGAGAGAAGAGATAAGATTTTTTTAAAAAGAAAAGAAAAGCAGAGCAAACAACTCCAGTTGAACTTGACCTTGACTTCGGCCAGGTTCACATACAGAGCCCTTGCTGTTTGGGAAAACTGGCGCTCATTTATGACTCTCACTATCAAGATTAAGAGAACATTAAAAACATTTGATGGCTGTTTTTATAGTTTGGAGTTAAACATTGACTCTGGATTGGCGAGGCCCCAGCGGGCAGCAGGCATTGTCATCAGACCCGGAGGGCTGGGCTGGACCCCACCGTGCAGGGTCTCGGGTGAGGACACATGCCTGCGTCCTGGCAGTGCTGCTCTGCTCATGACCAAAAATGCTGGATGGTTCAGTATTAATTCACACTTTCTTTGTGCCTCTAGGAATTTGTCTTCAAAGGAAGTGGGTTATTTTGCTGCAGATGTTTCATCTCAGAGCCCAGCACTAGATGAGATGAGAGATAGTATCTGGGAAAGGAGAGGTCTGAGGGACAGCCTTGCAGCTTAGCCGTTTACCAGCTGTGTGACCTTGGGCAAACTATTTGACCTCTCTGAGCTTCGGTGTCTTCTTCTGCAACATGGGAATAATCATAACATCTACCTCCCAGGGGGTTGTGAGGCTTACGTGAGACGTTGCCAGGCATGCTCACTATAAATACCCCATGAATGGACATCTCTGCTCATGTAACTTGTAAGCCATCCCATTGACCATTTAAATCTTATTACTTTCTCTTGTGGTTTATAACATTACATATCATCATAAGAGATCGGCGGTGCCTGGCTGGCTCAGTCTGTAGAGCACACTGCTTTTGATCTCAGGATCGTGAGTTCAAGCCCGACGTTGGACATGGAGCCTACTTTAAATGCTTACGAGAATATTTGTTGTATTAGTATTTGGTTATTTTCCCCTACAAAAAGTCAAAATTGAGATAGAGTAGGAAAAAGAAAAGTATTAGACGTGGATTCAAAACCTGGCTCTGCGGCTAACTAGCTGTGCGACTTTGGGAAAGTTGCTTAACCTCTCTGCTCCTCATCTATAACCCGAGAACCATCTCTCCTGAGGGTTGTGGATAAATGAAAACAGTGGAAGGGAGCTCGCCTGGGTAGGGCCTGCCTAGTACACAGTGGGGGCTGAATCCGTGTCAGCTGCCCCATCTTCCCGTGTTCGATAGCACAGCTGCCCGCCAACTTACCAGGCTATGGTTTTCAGGATCTCTGCCCGGAGGACTTGGCCCTCTTCCATCCTCACCCACGAAGACTTGGCACATGGCAGGAACCAAAACAGACCTGTCTGCCTGCCACCTGGCCCTGGGCTTCCCCGTCTCGTGCCCCATCCATCCCTGATCCCTGGGGACGGGTTCTCCATCTCTCCCCCTGCCCCTCCCACCCTGTCTGCTCACAGCCTCGACGTCCTCATACCCATAGCTCCACACAGCCCCACTCACTCCCGTCGTTCCTCTCAAGACCCTTTCAGCTGCAACTCCCACTGGGGCTGCTTCCAGTGCCGGCATCTCCACTTTCCAGATCCCAGGAAATCTGGCTGCTGCCACACGGTGTCAAGACACTTTCTGGAGAAAGGAAGAGAAGACCTGCATGTCCTCACTGGAGGACAGCTTGCAATTTTGAATTTTTCACTTTCCCTCTTTACTGAAAACAGAGCGGATCCGCATCAGTCCAGAACTGTTTTTTATACAAACATGTGTCCCTGTTTCATACAGATCTAGCTGGAATCAGTTTGCACCAGTAAGAAAGAAGTCATCAATATGTTCCACGACCTTTTACTCTTTGCTAACAGAACAGACTCTGTAGGGATTCCCTTTTCATTTTAAGATCAAACAGAAGACAATAAAAGCCGGCTGCTTCATGCTTTAAAATAAGAGTACTACTAGATTTTAACTGGACTTTATGTTCAAAGGGATACAGCTTGTTGCATAATTAATTCAGAAGCCCTCTTTGATATCCAGAGCAATTATGGAAAATTAAGAATGAATTTGTGTTTTCTAATATGGTTTTGTATACTTTGGCAAGCTGTGTGTGTGTGTGTGTGTGTGTGTGTGTGTGTGTGTCCGAGAGGGGGAAGGAGGGACAGAGCCTAGCACATTCTTTGCTTCTCTGAGTTTTGGTTTTCTCTCCTATAAAACAGAAGCAACAATGTGCCTTTCAGGGTTGCATAAAGAGAAATGAGATGGTGTAGATGACTTACACAAAGTGTCTAGTGATTCCCTAGTTTGATGTAACCCAAGTAAGAGGAGCTAACATTTCCCAGCCACCACATGTGTGCCCGGGGTCAGTCACCCCACACTGACCTTGGGTTCACCACAGCCCTCTTTCAACCAGGGCTCAAGATGTGGGACCGAGGCTGCCCTTTATCTTAGCCATATGCTGAGCTCAGAAGCCTTTGTGGGTCGAGCCTGGGAACAGCCCCCCCCCATGCATTTATTACTGTACAAAAGTAATGTGCAAGCCAATGACTTGTGCCCCAAACTTTTGTTTAAACAAAAAAAAAATCTATAAGTGGGGAACCACCTGAATTTAGACATTTGATTATTCCTTCCTCGGTGATTTTTGAATCTCACAACTAGGGACATAACTCGAGGGGCCGTGCTACCAGCATCTGGTGGGTGGAGCCAGGGATGCACCAGACCCGGGACGGCCACCACGACAGTTATCTGGCCCAAAATGCCATTCGTGCTAAGGGCTGAGAAACTTTGGCTTATGTATATATTGGGATATATATCTGAGTATAAGTTAAATTTTGACAACATCTGGATAATTTTTATAATCTGCGCTTTCACATGGTAATACCATGGCCATCTTCCCACGTCCATAAAAATTCAGAATTTCCAGGGGCACCTGAGTAGCCCTGTCGGTTAAGTGTCTGACTCTTGATTCCAACTCAGGTCGTGATCTCAGGGTTGTGAGATCGAGCCCCACATCGCACTGTGTGCTGGGTATGGAGCCTGCATAAAATTCTCTCTCCTTCTCCCTCTGCCCCTCCCTGCTCATGCTCTCTCAAAAAAATTAAAAATAGAATAAAAATTTCCATGTCCATGAAATGGTGGAATATGTCATATTGTGTTTAGCTGCTCTCCACTGTTGAACATTTAGGTTGTTTTCTTGTTGAAAGGCAGTATTATTATACATAGCTTTAACCTACAGTTTTGTGTACTGGTCCCATTATTTTCTTAAGATGAATCTTAAAATGAGACTGCTTAGTTAAAAGGAATAGAAAGGTGTCATTAGCTGATACATCAGCAGGACATGAGCATGCCTATTTGTCTACAACTTTGCTAGCACTGGGCTTTCCCATGTTTTTTGAATCTGTAGTGTTTTTGTGGTGCCCAGGTCTGGCCAGAGTCTGTGTTCATGGATGGTTTGACTAGGATGGGGTTGAGGCCCTGGCACTGTCTCCACTGGAGACATCGGGCACCTGTTAGGGCGGAATTCTCATTACAGCTACTGTTACCAGGGATTCTCATCATCTTTGTTTATTACAGGCTCCAGACACATCAGTCAGGCCGCAGCCAAAGTTGATGTTGAATTTGACTATGATGGGCCCCTGATGAAGACAGAAGTCCCAGGGCCTAAATCTCGGGTGAGTTGAGCACACTTGAGTGGTGTTCATAAGAACAAAGTGAAAGGGGTCCAGGAGGTAAGAACACAGTGAAGCATAGGGACCTGCATTCTTAGCTGCTTTTAGAGAGCCTGCCACTAGAGATCCAGGACATTAAATGAGGCCGTTCTGCCACAAGAAGTCAAAGAGGCCTTCTCAGAGGAGATGTAGCAGTTACCTGTTGTCACAGTAATGCTGTGTAACAATCACAAAACCTCAGTTGCGTTCAGATTGCCTATGCATCTGAGGTTAACTGGGAGCTAGCAGGGCAGCTCCATTGGGCCCATCTACATGCCTGGGGATGACTGGCCACTGGTTGGTCTAGGCTAAGCTTGTCTTGGGTCTCTCGTCCTCCAGCAAGCTGGGCTGGGCTCGTCCTCATGGCGATGGCAGACGAGAGCACATAATGGGTTTCCTGAGGTCTAGGCTCCACATTGGTCCACCATCACTCCTACCTCATTCTGTTAGCCAAAGCAAGTCAGATGGCTTGCTCGGAGTCTAGAGTGAAGGGCTGGGGCAGGACATCTGACCAAGATGGCAGAACATGGCATGACAGATGGCACAGGACAGGGAGAGCAAAGGCCCTTGATCTTGACCTTGAAGGATAAAAAGGAAGAACTCACTAAAGGAGCGCATCATTCTGTTGCAGGTGAGGGGAACAATATGTGGAGAGGTGTGCAAGGTGACAGGACACAGCATATGAGACACATTGGGTAGCTCTGGATCCCTAGAGTATATGTTATTGTGTGAGATGGAAGAGGTGCAAGACGACTCTGATGAAGAAGGTTGGCACCTCTCAGAGATGCTACAAAACCTGCATATAACACATTTCAGAAGGCTGACTAACCTTGATTCTGTTTTGTGATGCGCTATACTATTTCTAATGTTTGTACCAAAAAAACAACAATGTAAATCTTTTTAATACAAATTGGCTTTTTTCTTGGCCAATTTGCAGATTTTATCCACAATGTCTTTTTTTTTTTTTTAACTATCAGAAGATACCCCTTGTGTCATTGCAATTAGTTTATAAATCTGGAAATCTCATGTATTAATGCAAGTGATTGTAGTTATTTTGATAGCATTTTACTAACAAAAGAAGGGATATTTTTCATGCATATTTCTGTGAAGGAGAGGTACATTTTAATTTCATTGTGGTGAAAATACCTGGAATGATCGTTTTATATTCTTGTCATTAATATTAATTTCTATTTTTTAAGATTTTATTTATTTATTAATGAAAGACACAGAGAGAGGGAGAGAGAAAGAGGGGCAGAGACACAGGCAGAGGGAGAAGCAGACTCCATGCAGGCAGCTTGATGCTGGACTCAATTCCAGGACTCCAGGATCAGGCCCTGGGCCAAAGGCAGGTGCTAAACCACTGAGCCACCCAGGGATCCCCATTAATTTCTATTTTTATGTGGGAACATGATTTTACGACACCAATTGCTAAAGTTGATTTTATGTTGAATTATTTTTAGAGATTGAATCTATATAGTAGTAAAGCAACTAGTTCCCAATTCCCAATACATAATTCCCAGTTTCTGTATAGACTTGTACATGTGGTTTTTGGAGTGCTTAGACTATAATTACAAGTGGTTCTTTGATGTGCAAGTTTATATTTTCAGTTAATTTTATTTTTTATAACAGGATATTAAAGCCTTTTTTCCCCAAATGAAAAGGGAACCAGGGTACCTGGGTGACTCAGTCCATTAAGCATATGACTCTTGAGCTCAGCTCAGGTCTTGATCTCAGGGCTGTGAGTTCAAGCCCCATATTGGACTCCACACTGGGTGTGAAGCCTACTTTAAAAAAAAAGAGAGGGGGGGAGCCCTGGTGGCTCAGCGGTTTAGCACCGCCTTTAGCCCAGGGTATGATCCTGGAGACCAGGGATCGAGTCCCACATAGGGCTCCCTGCATGGAGCCTGCTTCTCCCTCTGCCTGTGTCTCTGCCTCTATCTCCTTCTGTGTCTCTCATGAATAAATAAATTAAAACTCTTTTAAAAAATTTTTTAAAGGGAGGGGGAACCTATGCTTTTATGAGCACTAGATAAACACCTTTAGCTTAAATATTTTTAATGTTTTATTTTATTTTATTGCTTTCCTTCCAAGTTTCTACATTTCTGTTTACAGTGGTAATATAGCTGGCAGGAATAGTTTCCTGCCAACTATTTATATTAAGCAATTTTTTTAATAATTGTAATATTATTAAATTACCTATGACTAATTACCTATGAGGTTATTGGCATAAGGCTGGGGAGAAGCCCCAACACTTGGAAAGACATGAAAGACTTGAACCTTCTTTGGCAAGAGTGTGTCCTTGCTATAATGCTTTTTGCTCTTCTTGCCTGCAGGAGTTAATGAAACAGCTGAATATAATTCAGGTAAGTGAGGATGAGCTAGCATTCTCTCCACTGCTTCTCTATTATGACTTAGCTTAGGGACACAAACACTTAGGCTGTGCTAGCTCTTAGAAAGAAAGAAAGAAAGAGAGAAAGAGAGAAAGAGAGAAAGAGAGAAAGAGAGAGAGAGAGAGAGAGAGAGAAAGAGAGAGAGAGAAAGAGAGAGAGAGAAAGAAAGAAAGAAAGAAAGACAACTGATTTTGTCCTAAACCTTTTTTCTCCTAATTTCCCTTGTGATTTCTTTTTCAACTCATTTGTTATTTGTGTGTTGTTTACTTTTCACATTTTGGTGAACTTCCCAAATTTCTTTCTCTTACTGATTTCCAATTTCATTCTATTGTAGTTGGAAAATATATTTTGTGTGATTTCAGTCCTTTTAAATTTACTGAGGCTTTTATTTGGTCTATCCTGGAAAATGTCTCACATGCACTTGAGGAGAACCACTGTTGGGTGGAGTGTTCCATAAGTGTGTGGGATCTATTGGTTTAAAGTGTTAAGTCTTATTTCCTAGTTAATCTTTTGACTGGTTGTTCTATCCACTATTGAAAGCCAGCTATTAAAGCTGCTAGCTATTCTCTTATAATTATATTTTTCTTCAGTTCTGCCCATTTTAGCTTCATGTATTTTGGGGCTCTGTTTTCAGGTGCTTACATGTTTATAATTGTTACATCTTTTTAGTGGACTTCACCTCTAGAAACATTTTTGTTTGTTTCACAGTTGATTTCGTCTGATTAATATAAACCGTTTCAGCTTTCTTAGGATTGCTGTAAAAATCATGTATCTTTTTCCATTCTTTTACTTTCAACTTATTTGTATTCTTGAACTGAGAGTACACCTTGTGTAGACAGCATATAGTTGCATCTTTTTATCCAGTCTGACAGTTTTGTTATTATTGATATATTCATATCTTCCATTTTACTGTTTGTTCTCTGTATGTCTCATACATTTTTGTTTCTCTTACTTTTTTTTTGCAATAAGTGAATATCTTCTAATGTGCTGATTTCATTTCTTTCATAATTGGTTTCTTCATGGTTGCTCTAAGGCTTACCATTATCTTAACACCAGAATCTTCTTCAGATTTATTTTGTTTGTGATATATAAAATACAAACTTACAGCTTAGTAAACTATCATAAAGCAAACCATTCATGTAAGCACCCACAGATACCCTCTGTGAGACCGTTGAATAGACAGGACATGGTTTACTTCACCAGTTCAAGCTTCATCCTGAAAGATGGAGAATCTAGGGGATTGCAGCAACCCTGAATCAGTCTCTGCTTTCTCCAAGAATGCAGAGGCTGTACACTTTTTCTGCAATTATGAAGAGAGCCGAGGCAATTACCTGGTTGACGTGGATGGGAACCGGATGTTGGACCTTTACTCCCAGATCTCCTCTGTCCCCATAGGTAAGAGCTGAGAAATCCATCCTCATATGTATCTCCTCTCTGTTAGCCGTGACTGCCCAGACTTTACATGTTCCTTCCAGCATGCACATCCCTGTGTGCCGCCAGACACTTCCCTCAAGGGCAGAGAAATGGAGCAAGTAATTGGTAGAGGGTCTAGTATAGGGACTTTACGTGACTTCTCTTCTCTCATTTACTCTTCCTTGAAACCCCACAGGGTGAATATGTATTAATACCTCCATTTTGTAGACAGATAAGCAAAACTCAGAGAGGTGACGTGGCTTGCAGAGGAAGCATGGCTAGGACGTGAGCCTAGGTGTTTGGGGCCCTAGCCTTTAATGTCAACTGTCTTAGGTTAGGTCTTGTAGAAGAGCCTGAGGCATGGGTTCTGTACAAGTTGCTTATTAAGGGCACAGTCTCAGGAGACAGAAAGGAAGAAGGAAAGGCTAAGAAGGATGAGGTCTCAGCCAGAGACTAGCCATAGCCTGACACACAGGGGGCTCTGGAGCATGAACTGCACGCCAGAGTTGGTCCCTGACTGCATCAAAGAGGCTGGCCTTTTTGTACTCCAGTGCATTCCAGCTGCCAGCAGGAAGGACATGGCTCATCTCTCGGGCAAAGTGGCTTCCATTCACCAAGGGCAGTTTTCCAGAGAAAGAGGCGGATGGAGCTGTTACTGGTCCCCACACAGGCAGTTGGGAAAGGGGTGGCCTGCCCAGTCGAGGTGAGCAGTGGGGGGCACCAGCAGCGTCTGTCCCACCAGGCTGACCTCTGGGCCATACAGAGCGTGACTTGCTGCTGGAGGAGGGCAGGGCAGACGATGGGATGGATAAGGCTGACTCAGACACACAGGTAGCTGCTGCACTCAATGGTGTGTGGGCTGAGCGTCTCGCTGGGTGAAGCCTGTCCCTCTATGCATGATGCCAGTCCCTATTTATTTCCCATTAAGATGCAATTAGACAGTAAGGTGACTCATTCCTTTTAGGAAGTTCATCATTCAGACACACTATGGTCTCCAAAGGCATTTTGGGTTCTGTGATTTATACAACCTTCTCCACATTCCAGATTGGTGTGGAAGGGCCAGTTCTGGAGTTCTCGGGGTCAAATCCTAGCTCTACCCTGTAACAGCCATGGGCTGGCTGTAGGCTGTTCTCTTCCCAGCTAGCTCTGTGTCCTCCCATCCCCAGCCCCTGTGGGCCTCCCTTAGTCTTCATCCCCATCCAGATGCCAAATGTGTGGGGGGATGCAGGAGATCAGGCCAGCAGAAGTTGAGAAAGCATGGGGAGTTCTGAAAGTTCTCCTCTGGTCATCTTCTCTCCCCTATCTGGAGTCTTTAAAATGATTTATCCTAACATAACTGCTGTGAACTTGCCACGTGCGTGGCACCCTACACACTATCCCATTAGACCCTACAACCGTCCTGTCACAGTAGGTCTTTTAACATCATCTCCAGCTTTCCTGTGGGGCCCAGGTCTCAAAAGGTCACAGCATTTGTCCAGCATGTCCAGGGAGCCCAAGGATTTGAACCAAAGGCCCTCTGCCTCCTAAAGTTTCTTCTGTGATAGCAGCCTCACAGTTAGCCGCCCTGCAGCACCCCACCCCGCCATGCGGGGTCCCACAGCATTAAAAGCCCAGGCATGGATTTCCCTGATCAGAGGGACCAGCTCTGCTCTCATCTCTCCCTCTGAAGTCAATAAGACAAGCTGCATCTGTGGTTTAATAAGATTTTTCCTGGAACTGGCTTATCTACTGAGGCAGAAAAGTCATAAACACCCAGGCAGCATGATAAAGAACCAGAGCTGAAAGACCTCTGGCTAAAATACAGTTGGAAAAAACCCACAGAGTGCTTGTTCCTTCCTTGAGTAATGAGCACCCTGCAGCCTTGGGCCTAGGATGCCCTTGAGAAGGGCAGGAGGGCAGGGAGGCTGCTCACAGCTCTACCTGCTGGGCCCCCCAGGTCACTGCCTCAGCATACACACCTGTCCACCCTCTTCCAAGCAGGCAGAATGAAACCACAAGGCTCATCAAGTCATTCACTCTTTGATGCTACAGAGGAGAAAGTCTCCCCAGGGTGGTGCCGGGACCGTATCACCCCTCTGAACTTGCTAGGCTCCTCTGGCGGAGTGGAGCAGGCCCCAGGCCCGGGCCCTGGGCAGGCCTCTCACCAAAGGGATATGAGTCTCCCCTCCAAGTAGTTCATTTAAGGCTGCCTGGCTGGCTCAGTAGGTGGATCATGTGACTCTCAATCTTGGGGTTGTAGGTTCAAGCCCCGCATTGGGTGTAGAGAGTACTTAAAAGAAAAAACAAAATCTTTTTTAAAAAAAAGTTTATTTAAACTAAAAATGAACTGGTTTAAAGAAAATAGGTACAAGGTATGCATGGTAAAAATTGTGATCCTGTAGACCAGGAGTTGCCCTCTCTGCCTCCTGCAGCTGGTCTCCCTTGCGACAGTTCTGGCTCTTGCCCGTGTTGCTGGATCTCCACCTCATTTGTTCGCTTAGCTACTGTGTACCGAGCACAATACTTGGCCACTGCCTCGGAGGGTCTTCCAATCTGGTCCCCTGACCTCTGTGCCCACCCCCTGACACACACAGGCCTGCTCTTCCCAGTGGAGTCATTGCCAGGATTGGGAACGATAAACAGAAGCTGAAAATACAGCCCTGGAACCCAGGACGCTCTGGCCCCAGTGCTGTGCAGTGTCCCTCCTCCTTTACGATAAATGCCTCCCCTGACCAAGCATCTGTTGTGTGCAGCGGGCTTTCTTTCTTTTTTTTTTTTTTTTAAGATTGTATCTATTTATTCATGAGACACACACACACACACAGAGGCAGAGACATAGGCAGAGACATAGGCAGAGGGAGAAGCAGGCTCCATGCAGGGAGCCCAATGTGGGACTCGATCCCGGGAGCCCAGGATCACTCCCTGAGGCAAGGCAAACGCTCAACCGCTGAGCCACCCAGGCGTCCCATACAGCAGGCTTTCTGTTCCTCATGGCCCCTGGTAGATGTTAGGTTGCTTTCAAACCTGGAGATACTAGAGCATCACGGTTAATATGCATGTGCATTGGTCACTCTACATGCGTGTAGGGCAAATGCACAGAAGGCCAGCTGCTGAGTCAAAGGATGTATCCTGAGCCTTGTCATGCAATCCCAGGCTCAGTCTGCACAGTCGATGCAGTCGACTCTGGGAAGCAGTGAATGTACGTGCGGGTCATAGGTTACAGGCTGCACCATTCATTTGCTCAGTTCCTGAGCAAATGTGTATTGTGATTCGACTCCAGCAGTGGCCTGGGGGAGGAAGGTGAGGGCCGCATCTACAGTTCATCACACTCGCCTCGGTCCTGAAGTGGGCCTCAGCCTTGCATTCACTGCCTTGTCTGTGTCTAGCCCCCTACGGCTCAGACCTGGGCATCAGGATCAACTAGAGAATTTGGGAAGATCTCTGGCAGTGGCCTGAGTTGATCCTGAGTCCAGAGGTCTGGGTGGGCCCCAGGAATGGGTCTTGTCTGCAAGGGATAATGAGGCCCCTCATGAAGGGATTGGGAGGGGGTGACAAGCCGTGGGGGAGGGGCGCAAGGACCCTCTAACCAGAACTCTAACCCAGCCGTCTCTCCCCAGGCTACAGCCACCCTGCTCTCCTGAAACTGGTTCAACAGCCTCAAAACGCGGTGAGTCCTGGGTTATGCAGTGTTCATGGTGATCCAGAGGATCGCTGGGCAGCCCTTACATTCATTCCACAAATATTTATTGAGCACATACCATACACTAGAGACTTGGAATGCCTTGGTGAGCAAAACCACAGAGCCCCGCCCCACGGTCAGTTAACCACACACATGAGCAGGGATCTGCATCCAGAATGAGGCAGACAGTACTGTGTTGGTGCAAAACAATGATGGTGGCAGCAGAGGTTGACATCTATCGAGAGTGAAATGTGTGCCAAATGCTGTGTTCAACACTTTGCAGCTGTAATTGTTGATAAGTCCATGGGGCAGGGCCCCGTTGTCATCACCATCCTACTGATGAGGACATGGAGGCACAGAGAAGTCAAGGATTTGCCCAAGGTCACACAGAGAGAGGAGGTGCTCGGACTAAAACCCACAGGAGCAGGGCTTTCCAGGGATTGAGGGGGCCGGGGGTCAGGGAAGGGTTCCAGGGAAGTGACTGAAGAGGAGGAGGAGCCTCCAGGGCCCCTGCAGGGAGAAGGGAGTGGGAGGGAGAGCAACGGTGAGGACAAGGAGAGAAAGAGGACATGTGGCCAGAGCGGAGCCACAGGGACCGGACAGGGTGCAGATGTAGGGACCACATAGGCCGGATGTCAGTCTCGGGGCATGGGGACGCTCGGAGAGGCGGCCAGCAGCGTCCCCTCTTCAGTTGTGAGAACCAAACCTGCCTGCAGACACTGCCGTGTCCCCCGGGGGGCGGGGAGTGCAAGTAGAGGTGCCCCCAGATGTGCACCCCTGGGGGGCACACTGAGTATAACACGCTGAGCGGCGCTTCCCCCCAGGTGCACTGCTCGGTGACCCGTCCCGTATAACCCGGTGTCTCTCAGCTCTGCTTTCGTTATTACTTACATAAGGAGCCTTCCTAGACATTCTCTTCCTAGTTGTTTCTGCCGTGGCGTAACTTCAGTGCCTCCACGTTTCCTGCTGCTGCGTGGCCTGAGTCTGGCGGCTCAGCTGAGCACTCTGCTTGGGGTCTCACAAAGCTGGAGGCTCTGGGGCAGAACCTGCTTCTGCACTCACTCAGGCTGTCGGCACTCATTCTCGGGGTTTCCATGCCAGCAGTGCCAGGCCAGTCCTCTCTGCCCTCTTCCTGCTTCTGCTCTTAACAGAGGGCTACCTGGTTGCACTCAGCCCACCCAGAAAATCCAGAGTAATCTTCCTATCTGATCTGATCAAGGACCTTAATCCCATCTGCCCAAATCCCCTTTGCCATGTAAAACAATCCCTCCCGTCAGGGATGGGAAGAGGGTGGGGCATTTTCCTGGAGGCCAATTTAGCGCCTACAAGTCCCCTGCCAGACGCTGACCTCAGAGCGGGCTGTGCGCTCCCCGTCACGGGGGGGCGGGGCGGGGGGGGTGCTTCACCCCCGGGGAGAACGAATCAGTGGCACCTGCTCCCCACAACATGCCCCGCACCTGGCTGCCAACCCCTTAAGTCTGACGGCGTAGGTGCGTCTCTAACACGCTTTACCGCCTCGTACACGGAGTCCTGCAGCCGGTGGTCGCACCCGGCCTATTTCCCTCTGAGTCTGTCTGTGTGATTCATCCCGGTGTGTAGCTGCAGACCAGCCGTGCCCGGGCCATTGGAGCATCCTCCATGTGTGCATCCCTGCAGTGAACCTGCCCGTCCTACCGCGGGTGGGCCTTTGGGTGCTTCCCCATGCAGACACTGGTGAACGTTGGAGAGCCTGGGTTTTGGTGGCCACGTTCGTGCGTCGCCGCTGGGCTCTGCTGGCCTGGCAGCGTGTGCATGCAGGTGGCTCCGGCAGCTCCAGCGGCTCCCGCCAGCCCGTCCCCACTGCGCCCCCTCCCTGTCCTCACCTGCACCAAGTGTCACTGCGGGGCCATCATCCTACTCAGAGTGACACAGCGAGTGGGGCTCCTGAAGAGAAATCTAAGCCAGGCGGACAGTGGGGGGCAGGCGCATTGGGGACCCGGCTCCTGGGTTTGAAGTCCCTCCCCTTTTAACCGTCAGACTTGAAGGTGACAGGAGAGAACCACATTTCCCCTGATGGATGTCCCTGCCCTGCCTGGGAGGGGCTTGGGCCTGGCTCCCCCCCACCCCCTTGACACACCCGGCCCCCCCCTCCCCCCCCCCCCCCCCCGAGTTCAGGGGCTGCTGGAGCAGAAATGGGCGTCCCCTGGAGGTGCCTGGCGAGCCCATTTGGGAGGCTCCATGGGGATGTTTACATTCAAAGCCTGGCTTTGTTTCGAAACGTTGTGCAGATCCCAGATGCCTCAGCAGTTGGTGCTGAAAAAACTGTGTCAACAAACATGTCACACACATTTGCGGTGTCAGCTGCATCCGGAGGCAGAATCATCCCCGAAAACACGTGACTTCGGGGCCCAGGGATTCTGATTCCAGGGGATGCCCTGCCCCCACCCCTCTCTGCCAGGATTCGTGTCCCCTCCCCTTCTTGCCTCTCACCCCTCACCCTGTCCAGCCGGCCCTGGCTTTGCCTGTGTCTCCAGCAGCCCCTCTCCACCAGCACTCCCACCCCGGAGGGCCCGTGCTCACCGCCCCCGAGCTGCGCCTTGCCTGGAATTCCTTCTCCTACCCACTGCCTCCAGGATCCACCCCAACTCCCCCACTTCAGGTGCAAAGCCCTTGGTGGTTTGGCTCCTGCTTCTTCAGCCTCATTTCTTGACATTTGTTCAGTCATCAATTATTGATTGAACACCTCCTGCGTGCTGAGCACTGTTCTGGGTGCTGGCGAGGTCAGGGTCTGTGCTGACAGTGTTCTCCTGCAGAAGTCTGGGTTCGCCAAGTGAAAGGAGCCCCTGGGCACAGTCTCAGAGAAGTGGGAGCTGCCCTAAGCTCAGGGGGGTACACCTGGGGCACCAGGCTGGGGGACCATTGGCTGACATGGTGGGTCTTCCAGATTCTTGGCTAGAGATGCACTCGGCAGCGATTATGGGACTTTGCCCATCGAGGACAGGTTCCTGCCAGGTCATTGAAGTCCTACAAAGGGGCTAATCAACCCTTTTGTACCCCAACCACATCACCCTCAAACTCCAATGTAATTACTTCATGTGGCTGCAAAAAATGAAGCAGTAGCCCCTGGATCCAATTTCTGGGCTCCTGCCCCAGTTCCAGTTTCTTGTGTCACCAGGGCCACTCATTCGTTACAGTGCCCACAGTTCCTAAATGATCAGTGCACAGTCATTGTGCTGAGTGATGAGTGCAGCCTGACACCTGGGACTGCTGACCTGGTCCAGTCAGACACCTGCCGCCACCGTCACCTCCTGGCCTGTCTGCTATCCATCTAGACTGAGCTGCTGCCTCATCTTGCACTTTGACGTCTCACTGGCTCTGTACAGGCAGCAAGGGAGACGTCCCCCTTTTGGAAGATAAGGACTCTGAAGACCAGAGAGGTCACCCTATGCCCCAGGTTGCACAGCCTCTAAAACCAAAGCCCATTCTCTTCATACTGTACTTTTAGGACTGTTGAGCCTGACAGCAAGGGTTCTAGAAACCTGTCCTCATTTGATTCTGCTACCCAATGTCCCAGATACCGTCTGTTCTTAATGTCATGCTTTGTTGAACAAGAACACCACCCCCACATCTTCCCTGGCCCCAGAAAGGCGGTCAGGCTACCAGCCAGCACGCCCCCCCCCCTCCGTGAGCCGCTCCCCCCACTGCCTGTGACAGCAGCTCGCCTTGACCCTGACCTCACCATGCGCTTGGTTTCCTTGGAGCCCCACTAACAGCTTGGAGCCAAAAGGAGATGCCCCTCCAGGCCCCTCCAGGCCAGCCAAGGTCTCTCTGGGTTGCACTGGGCTGACTCGTATCCTGCATTAATGTTCTCAGGCAGAAGCTGCCTGCCGTGTCTGGCAAAGGAGTGGCTCTGAAGTCAGCGAGCCTGCTGGGAGTCTTGATTCTGCCCCAACCTGCTGTGTGACCTGGGGCGGGTTGCTTGACCTCTCTGGTCCTTGGTCTTCCCAGCTCTACAGTGAGGAGGGTTAACATCCCCAGCCACTTACCCTAGACTCACCCAGGTGGTCACAAAGCAGAAAAAAATAAGAGTATGAATCTGCCCCGATTTCTAGCCATCCAAGCCCAATTCCAGAGCCACCAGGAGGGCGCATCTGGGGCCTCCCTGTCCAGTGAGCGCTACCTGGATTTGCCCTAAGATGGCTGCACTGGTTACGTCTGACAGAGAGGAACCTGAGCAGCCCCCAGGCCGGGTCATTACCTGTGCATTTAACGAGGTGATGCGACCATAGACTAGCTTCAGGTGCACAGACAAGGTGGGGACGGTGCCCACCTGCCTTTCACCCAGTTCGCCGGTGCCGACACCTCTCTCCCCACAGCACCTTGTCGAAACTAAGAAATTAGCACGTTGTGTAGTGCAGACCTTGTTCAGATTTCCCCACTTTCCCCAATAGTGTCCATTTCCTGCTCCCGGGATCCAGTCCAGGATGCATTCAGCACAATCCCTTTTTAAAACCCAGATCCACTCCTGGGAACCTCGCTGTTTACGCATTGTGCAGAGCCTCCCTGGACCCTTCCCAACCCCAGCCTGGGGCACTCAGGATCTCCAGGGGAGGGGGTCTCTGGCCTTATTCCATCTGAGCCCACAGACTCGCCCCACGGGGTCTGCATCTTTCCAGAATTAAATGTTCTCCTTTATCCTCACTTTAAAGCACGTCTCTGCAGCCCCACAAGCCTGTAGGGAGGCTTGGGGCCCTTGGCCCGGCATGTGCCTCCAACTTGTCATCATCTGGGCAGCTAGTGGCCACGCCTGTGTTTTGAAGCCATCAGGCAGGGAGGGGCTGGTTTTCTTCAAGAATGCAGCTACCTGAGTGTGGGACTGTCCCTTGGCCAGAGGTTGTTTTAAGAGAATTCTGGCCAGCATTTTATAGTGGGGGGACTTCCCATTGAAATCTACATTTCCCTTTTCTTTTGAAATTTGGAGGCGCTGGCTCCCTCGGCCTGCAATCCTGCTTCGAAGTCAGGGCAGAGCTGACCGACGCTAGGGCCAGGCAGGTTCACCTCCGAGGCCACCATGCCCCCTCGTTTTTGAATTATCAGAAGCGAGTGCCCATTTGGAATCAGGTTTGCACTGTCGACTTCCTTGCAGAGGGAAATACTCCTCTGGACCCACATCTATCAAAATTAGAATACGACACCAACATATATATGGAGTCAGGTAATTTTTCTAACACTGGTTCTCTCATGCTCCTCCCATCCCACTTCTGAAGAGCTGCAGCCTGCATCTTGATCAGATGGCTCTCCTAAGCCCGGCTCGGTGTGGAAATTCCAGGGCTAACACTGCCTCTTAATGCCTTTCCCCCACCCTTTTTTTTTTTTTTTTTTGGATCAAAGTATAATTTACATGTAGTAAAACCCATCCTTTGTGCTCTGTAGCTCTGTGGGTTTCACCAAACACACAGTCGTGTAGTCGCTGCCCAAATCCAGGCACCTTCATGCACCCACATTCATAGCACCGTGCCAGACGCCAGGCCTGGACGCACCCCGAGTGTCCATCAATGGATAGAACAGTGTGGTCTCCCCATACGACGGGATATTATTCAGCCTCACCGAGGAATCCTGAGCCACCCTGCACCACAGATGAACTCCGAGGACATGATGCTCAGTGAAAGCAGCCAGTCACCAAAGCCAGTGTATGAGTCCACTTAGACGAGGGACCTAGAGTCGTCGTCAGAGTCCTAGCGACAGAAACATCGGTGGTGGTTGCGGGACTGGGGGGAGGAGGGATGGGGAGTCGGTGGTTAATGGGGACAGAGTCCTAGTTTTGTAAGATGAGAAAGTTCTGCAGAGGGATGGATGGGTGCGTGACAACATACCTAACACTGCTGGACTGTACCCTTAGAAATGGTTACACGGGTATGTTTTATGTCACCTGTTGTTTTTTTAACCACAATTTTTAAAAATACAGACACAGCACAGTTCAGCACCCAGACATTCCCCCAACCCGGGCCAGCTCCTGGCAACTGTGCGCTGCTGTCTCTCTTGCGCGTCTTGCCTTTTCCAGAATGTCCTAAGAAGGGGACAGTGGGGCGTGTGCCTCTCTGACTCCAGGCTCTTTCAGCATCGTGACTGAGCTGCCCTTGTGTTCCCCCACGTGTGTCAGTAGATGGTTCCTTCTATTGTTGAGGGATATTCTGTGGTGTGCAGATACCCATTCCCTTATCCTTCCTCAATGCGGGGACGTGCGGGTCATTTCCAGTTTGGGGCAAATAATAATAAAACCCACCATAAGCATTCACAGATGATCACGTCCTTGTGTGCTTTCATTTCACTTAGGTAAATGCCTAGGAGTGGAATTGGCGAGTGACGGGGCGTGTGTGTGTGTGCGCGTGCGCGCGTGCGTGCATGTGCAAGGGCACGTGTTCAACATTGTGAGAAACCGCCACACCACTTCCCAGTTTGTTCCCACCAGCTGTGAACGAGGGTCGTGGGTGCTCTGCACCGTCGCCAGCACGTGTTAGTGTCCACTCTTTGTTTTTGAGCCATTAGGATGGGTGGATTTTTTAGATCATAATTACAGTGTATAAAATTAGAATTACAAAATTATGATCATAAAATTGTGACTTAATCATAATTCACAGGAAGTTGCAAAAATAGTACTTTTGCAACTTTTGCTTCCCGGGTGGTAGCATCTTCCGGAACTACAGTGCAATGCCGCAACCAGGAAATATCACAGTACTTCTTACACCTGGAGCGATCCTAGCGGATTTCTCTGACGGTGCAGGGAAGCCAGCCGCTGCCAGCACCTAGCGAACACCGTCCGCCCATCTGAACACACCCGTTGTGAATAGCTCGGTTGGTCTCTGGCCAGCAGGGAGCCAGGTCAGGGCTGAGAAGTCACTGTGGGTCTCCTGCCTTTTTGCAGAGCACGTTCATCAACAGACCTGCCCTGGGCATCCTTCCTCCGGAGAACTTCGTGGAGAAGCTGCGGGAGTCCTTGCTCTCTGTGAGTTCAGGGGTGGGGCGGGTGGGAGGACAACCTGCTGGGACCCGTAGGGAGGCCCTTCCGGTCTCTGGGAGGGGGTGCCCGCAAGGGGAGGAGAGGCTCCAGACCCACTCCTTTGAGGATGGGGGTGTTAGTCTTGCTCTTGTGCTGGTTCTTTCATGAAGGGCATTTTTAATTTTCTTCTTAAAGAGAAGAAGGGATTCCTTGTGCACAGGAAAAAGGAACCAGGGGGGATTGATATCTATTGCTTGATAGGAGCTTTGCGTATTATTCAACCCTTCCCAACATTTCGGTTTTCATGGTTGCAGCAATTAAGGTCATTCTGAACCTCAACTTCCCACCCGTAAAATGTGGGTGTTTCAGGGGATGGCTGTGGTGCCAGGCAGGACAGTCTGGGCTGCTCTTCGTGGTTTTGTCCTCCTTGCCCTCCAGCCTCAGGGCCTTCCTGGGCTTCTCGCCACCCCCCTGGAAGAGCCCAAGTCCGCTCTCCTAGTCCTGCTCTCGGGGACCTTCCTGGATCCCTCCCAGCTCCCCATAGCCTCCGGTGCCCAGCGTGCACCTCTGCAGAGGTTCAGCGCCAGCAAGGGCCAGGTGGAAGTCAAAACAGAGCCAGCCCACAGCTGTCTCTCCCTGCAGGTGGCTCCCAAAGGGATGTCCCAGCTCATCACCATGTCCTGCGGCTCCTGCTCCAATGAAAATGCCTTTAAGACGATCTTCATGTGGTATCGGGTGAGGTTTGGGGCATGAGCATGTGCGCGCACACACACACATACACACGGGCTCCCCACCCCCAGCCACACACTCGCCCCTTGTCCAACTGTGCATCCTACCTGGCCGGAGTACGGAACAGCAGTGACCATGGTTAAAACCCAGAGAGGGCCACTGCCTGGACGGGGCTTCCGAAACATCCCACTGTGGGTGGTGCAAGGAGCTGAGTTACCCAGTGTAATTACACTGGTTTCCTTGGCATAACACACCTCAGCAGCTCTTAGTTGTTCCAATGGAAGAATAATGCACCTCTGTGTTCCTCTACTTACTCTGCTGTGAGCACAATGAACCCCCTCGTCCTTTGGTGCATAGGTGCACCAGGCAGTGTATAGGATCAGCCCCGAGAAAGCACTCGCTAGGGATCCAAACTGAACGTGGGTTTGCATACAAAGTGGAAGCCCCTCCTCCCCCCGGGGAGTCTGAGATTTCGTCTGTTGTGTTTTGTCAGAACAAGGAAAGGGGTCAAACGGGTTTCTCCAAAGAGGAGCTGGAGACGTGCATGATCAACCAGGTAAGCATGGCGGGCCCTTCCGCCCAGGCCATGGGACAGCTGCCACAGCCCCTCCAGCTGGTGCTGGCTGATGGACCCCAGGCTCTCGGGGAGCTCAGGCTGGGCAACTTCCACAACAGAGATGTATTTTCTCCCAGTTCAGGAGGCTGGAGTCCTAGGGCCAGCTCAGTTCAGTTCCCTGGGACAGGCTCTCTGCATGGCTCATAGACGGTGCCTTCTCACCGTGTCCTCATGTACCCAGGTGCCTCATGTGCAGGCGCTCTGATGCCACCACCAGGACCCCCCCCCTTCCCTGACCATCTCCCAAAGGCCCCTCCTCCAGACACCATCACAGTGAGGGTGAAGGCTTCCACACAGATATCTGGGAGGCACACAGACATTGTGTCCCTACTGAGGGATCCCCAAGCATTCCCACTCCCTGGTTCATCCCCCTGGCATCAGGGCTGAGTGGGGCCCTTCCTGGCCAGCACTCATCAGTTTCCCAGGACAGCTGCCTGAATTTGACTGAGGAGCCTTTAATATACTTTCTAGAATCATCCAAAATGTCAGCACAGAGGCACGTACAGGGGCGTTCTCCCCATTGGCGCTTATAGTCGTGATAACCAGGAAAGATTGGGAACCACTTGTATATCCAGTTACGGGGGATGGGGGACAGAGTGTAGGGGTTCCAAATGGAACCCCAGCGGTCCAAAGAGGCGCCAAAGAAGCCGGTGTCGGAGGCGGGGGCTGGCAGTGGGGGTACAGGGAGAACCGGGTGGGTGGGTGCCAAGCTCCCCGGCCAGCTTCAACCAGACCAGGCCTGTCCTCCCTCATTCAGTGATTTAGACAGAAGTGTCTGCTGAAAAAAAAAAAAAAATCAAGAGCCACTATACTCAGTGACCCCCTGCACATACCCACAGCAAAAATAGTCACAAAGGTTTTCTCTTGGCCTGGAGACACACGTGCTGTAATTCAGTAAAAACAGTAGAGGTAAATCACACAGACACTGTGCTGTCAACCATGTAAATAAATACACGAGAGATTACCGGAAGAAATCCTGCTAATACGTTTACAGTGAGCTGCCTCTGGGTGGTAAGGTTGTTTTTGGTTTCTTTGCATGCTTCCTTAATTTTTTTTTTCCCTAATCTACCCCTTTCTCTGTGTTCATACAAACCTGCACAAACTTAAGTGTTTTCTTTTTCCTTCTGGCCATCTTTGAAAGCAGTGGATTGTGCTGACCCTCACTCTCATCCGACACCCACGGGCATCTTGTTCCATCAACGTTTTTAGATCCCGTTGCTCACATTTAGTGGCTGCATCAGGGCAAACAAGGAAAATGACAGGAGGGTATTCCAGGGTTTGTGTGGAGGCAGGGGGGTGCTTTCCTGGAGGTCTCAGGGACCCGGAGATGAGCCAGCCTGAGAAAACACTGTGTGCGCCTCCCAGCAACCCTGGGTCCCAGGGTTACTTCTGCAGCCCAGAGTCGGCCTGAAGCCACTGGAAACAGGTCTGGCCAGGTTAGGGGGTTGGGAAACAAGGCCGCTGTGCCATCGGCAGGGAGTTCCTGCGTCCCTCCCGAGCCCAGGGCAGATGCTGTAGGAGGAGGCCACAGCCCCGCAGACCCCTTCCAAGGGCCCAGAGCACTTCTGGTGAGATGCCTGGTCCAGCCCGTGTCCCAGGAGGCACCCGGCCCCCCTGGAGCAGTGGAAGCCAGAGCAGTCCGCTGGCACGAGGAGTTCAAAACTCCAAAGGCCCCGCAGCCCAGCAGGGGACATCGGGGCATAAGGCAGCATTGGGCCCGGGGCAGCTTGCTCGCCCAGCCTTTGTGCTTGGCCACCTGCTCTCGCCACGGGAGGAGAAGGGGCCCAGATGATGCAGAGCATGTGAGAAGCCAGAAGTTTAGATACTTATATGAAATCTCTTGATTAAAGAATTTTTTACTTGACTTCATGGGCAAAACAAAATGCCTGTGGGGGGATGCCAGACCTGTGGGCTCAGTCTGTAACCTGGTCCTGAGAAGGGAGTGCAGTTCTTCCGATGCACGTGTGTTCCGCTAGGTGTGCAGGGCCAACAGTACAGCCCCCATCCCTACCGCAGTGACTGACAACCACCGTTTCTTGGTCCTAGGCCCCCGGCTGCCCCGAGTACAGCATCCTCTCCTTCATGGGCGCGTTCCACGGGAGGACCATGGGTAAGGAGGACCCGGCGTGATCCCCCGGTGGCAGTTAGGGTACGAGTGACAGCAGCAACCGTAGTGACGCTTGCCGTAGCTCCCACCCTGACAGTTTTCACGTAGTGTCTCACTGACTCCACGCCGTTCTCTGCAGAGGGGGGTTGGGGATTGTCATTCCTGCTTCGCAGACGTGGAAACCAAGACTCTGCAAAGAAGGAACATCCCAAGGCCATCCAGTGGCAGAGCCAGGACTTAACCCCTGGCTCCGTGCCTCCAAAGCCTGGGCTTCATCTGTGATGATTCAGAGAGTAGAGCACATGCACATGCACACACACGCGTGCACACACGCACACATGCACACGCACACACGGGCCCATGGGTTCTGCTTTAGCTTCAGGGTGTCACCGGAACTGCAGGCAGCAGGGCTCCCTGGGTGTTGGAAGACGTGGCCTGCACTGCCTGTCATCTCCTTTTCAAAGACTGTTCCTCCTACGTCCCCAAGCCAACCACCTTCTGTTTTGCTGGCCTAGGATGCTTAGCGACCACACACTCCAAAGCAATTCATAAGATCGACATCCCTTCCTTCGACTGGCCCATCGCTCCATTCCCACGGCTGAAATACCCTCTGGAAGAGTTTGTGAAAGAGAACCAGCAAGAAGAAGCCCGCTGCCTGGAAGAGGTAACCCGGGACCGTGCACATTCTCCCGCCCCGTCTCCTTACCCCCCGGGGAGGAGCACAGAGTTCACCCGGGACCCTCGTGGCAGTCTCTGGGGAGGACACGGAGACAGACGCCTTGTGTCCCAAACATTCCACATCAGGAAAAGTAATGAGACACCTTGATTTCACCTCCTGGCATCCATCTCCCTGTTTCGGGTACTGATACCTTCTCGTTTAAGCTTCTTTGGGGGCAGGCTTCGCTGACTCCAGAAAAAGACAGACTTTATGAGGCTGTGGCGCAGCCCATAGAAAAAGTGGATGCCTAGGACCCTGGAGCCCATTTCCAGCCTTCTCCCAAGTGCTGGGGCTGCTTTGGGGTTGCAGCAGGGGCAGGCCAGGGACTGGGGACAGGCAGCGCCGCAACCAGCAGCCATCCTTTAATCTGTTCCACATACTGGGGTTCCATGTTAGGCACTGGACAGAGTCTTCACTGGGGAAAAGAAGCTGGAAACTCTTCAAGTTTGGAATTTGAGCTCAAAAGAGGCTGATTTGAGGCTGGTCAGCCTCTTAGACTTGTCATCCTTTTCAGTTAATAATTAACACGTCCTGGGTGGGAAGCAAGGTGCTGGGTGCTGGGTACTTGTGGCAAATAAGAGACAAGACAATGGAGGCCACTGCAGCCCTGTCCAATAGAAATATTTAGCTACACGTCATTGCAGTTTTTCTAGAAATGCATCCAAATACGTATCCGAGAATCTGCACAGAAGGGACTCTCTTACCAGTAATGGTCTCACACTAATGACTCTGTAGCAACAGCGTCAGCAGCAGCGACCCCTTCTTTACACCCGACCCTGTGCTGACTGGTCTCATTCAGTGCCCCCCCCGCCACCCGTGACCAGCGCCCTGAGTTTCTCCCCCCGGTGCTAGCACCAGGCCCAAGTCGGGCACATTCCCACCCACACGAGCGGCTCTGAATGGATGCGACGAACACATGTTTAGCATCGCTTCGGGGGTAGGGGGTGGAACCCACCTGCCCACCCGCAGATGCTGCTCTGGAGCTCCCGCCAACTGTTGTTACTTGTCCCCTGGGAACACAGGTGGAGGATCTGATTGTGAAATATCGGAAAAAGAAGAAGACAGTGGCCGGGATCATCGTGGAGCCCATCCAGTCTGAGGGCGGAGACAACCACGCGTCCGACGACTTCTTCCGGAAGCTGAGAGACATCTCCAGGAAGGTCAGTGCACAGGGCACAAGGCCTGTCGGGGCCATGGGCCCTCTGCAGTGGGTTTTCCAGAGCAAAGGGTTAGCCCTGGGATCCTTGCCCATGTCCAGAAGGTCAGAGGCTGCCTGGTGGCCTCACGGCATTGGAGGCAGGAACAAGGGAGGGAGTTTCTCTGTAAAACCTCACTGCAGACTCAGCCTCCACTCTGCCAGCTAGTCAGGGACGTTCCCCATCAAGGGAAGGGCTCGGCCTCCTCCTTGTCTCTCTCCAGACCCATCTCCTCTTGCAGCCCAGTGTGGTCCGCACTCAACAGACACCAAATGAGCAGACTCTAGGTTAATACCACGTGTTTACATGTGCAACTGGCACATCTAACCAGTAAGATGTGTTGCTCTAAACACAGATTCTCAGCAAGTAGTAGTCGGGGTGGTGAGCAGAACTGGCCACAGGCCAGCTGGAGCCTGGGAGGCAGGCGTCGGCCGCTCTGGGGGAGGAAGAAGACCCTGCGGGGCCTGAAGCCCAATGCAGCGCCGCCACACTTCCATTCAGGATATCCTAAAGTGACGGTCCTATCCCAGCTCAGCAGTCTGAGGACAGGTTCAGACCCTGCTGCGACAGAGCTGCTCTGCAGGCCCAGGAGCGGGGGCTTGGTCCACAGGCCAGAAGGCAGCATGCCTCTGGGTGGACGTGGGGTCCCAGGCTGGTCCGGGGCTGGTCCTCGGTGGTGGGTGCTGATGTACCCCTTGTCTCCCATCCTGACCAGCACGGCTGTGCCTTCTTGGTGGATGAGGTCCAGACAGGAGGCGGCTGCACCGGCAAGTTCTGGGCCCATGAGCACTGGGGCTTGGCTGACCCGGCGGATGTGATGACCTTCAGCAAGAAGATGATGACCGGGGGCTTCTTCCACAAGGAGGAGTTCAGGCCCAATGCCGTGAGTAGCCGCCCGCCCTCCCCTGGCTCACCACCCCTGGCTCTTCCTCCAGACCAGGAGCAGAGGGGACCCCGGCCGGGTCACACCACTCCTGACCCATGTAATTAGCCGGTGGTTATGCTCACCCAGCTCTGTGCAGGGCGACTTCCTCGCAGCCACCGTCAGTCCCCTGCTTCCCGCGTGCCCATACCATAGTGTTGGTAGCTGCTGCCGTGAACTGAGCACGTGCTCTGTGGCCGGCCCAGTACTTTTAATTCTCCCAGCAATCTAAGCAAGTAGGTGTTATTTTTCTCTCCTGCTTTACTAATGAGGAATCAGGTGCAGAGAGGTTAAGTAAGTTGTCCAAGGTCACATAGCCTGTGAAGTGACAAAGCCAGGATTCAAACATGGAGCCCACTCTCTAAACCACTGCACTATACTGCCGGGTATCCATGGGGATGCTCATACATACAAGCACACAGTTATCAGGGGCCCAGGACCCTTTCCTCCACCATTCCTGCCGGTGCCTTCCACCCTCAAGGTTGCCTCATGATCCAAAATCACTGCTGGAGCTCCAGCCGTCACATACCAATTCCAAGCAGAAGGAAGAAAAAAGGAGGGAAGGACAAAGTGGCCCCCATCTTGTCTTTAGAAAGCAGCCTTCCCAGAAATCCCACAATATTTCTGTTTCTAACACTTTGACTGAGATCTGGTCACACGGCCACTCCTGTCTGCAAGGGAGGCTGGGAAGTGTGTTTTCGGTGTGTCCCCTGACACCTGCATACTTCATGGAGGAATAAATGGGCGGTCATGGTGAGTGGCCATCGAGCCTCTCCTGACTCCACCACCATATTTTCTGGGACAAATCCCGTACCTTCTCAGACTTGGCTCCTTTGTATAAAGTGAGGTCACCGTAGTTACGGGCTGACTGTCGCGGCTTCCCCAGGACCGAGGGACTGCCCGGGGCGTGGGCCAGCTTGGCCTCCCCAGCAGCAGCCCCTAGCTGTAGGAAAGAACCCAGGGAGATGCCGTGTGTTGCCCTCCCTGAGCTTGGTCGATGCTCGCCGGGCTTGTTTCTCTCCTAAAGGAGGGACGGGTGTGTCTGAGGGAAGCGGGGGGGCCCTCCAGGGTCTGCCTGTATGTGAGCCCCTCCGACGCCCTATTCCAGCCCTACCGGATCTTTAACACCTGGCTGGGGGACCCGTCCAAGAACCTGCTGCTGGCCGAGGTCATCAACATCATCAAGCGGGAGGACCTGCTGAATAACGCAGCCCATGCCGGGAAGGCCCTGCTGACGGGGCTGCTGGACCTGCAGGTACCCCCCACCCCGGCCTTGGCTCCCCCCACCCCCGCCACCATCTCCCATTCCTAGGGGCTCCATCCCAACCCCCACTCCCAGTTCCTGGTCCCCTTTGACGCCAAATGCAGGCATCCGTCGCCCCACTCACATTCCCCGCAGAGTGTCGCCTCGTCCCTCGTCGCGACTGCCCTCCTCTTACACGCCACCCCGCACCGGCGCCGTCAACAGGAGACGTGGGAAGCCCCAGAAGCCATTTTAAACGTTCTAGTAACCAAACAGTAAAAGGGAAGGAGGCAAAGTTAGTAATGACAGAGTTTCCTGACCCATTACACCCCGACTTGAGCCTGCCGTCAGCACAGAAAATACCGAAGGGGGCATTTCGCGTTGCCTTCTGTGTACCAAGACTTCGCCATCTAGCCCGTCCTTCACCCTGACACCCTGGCACAGCTCCCCTTGGACTTGTCACATTTCAGGCCACGTGTGGCCGCCGCACGGGACAGCACAGCTCCTGGTTACACTCGCTTGTCTTTGTTACTTCATGCTCCCTGCCTGACACCCACCCCCCACCCAACACACGCATGCACAGGCATGTGCACACACCTACATGTGACTCTCCCAGACGGGGTGGGGGCCGTCGGGGGCCCAGTCCAGCCCAGGAGCTGGAGGAGAGATGACTCTCCAGTGCACTGGTCAGAGAGCCCTTCTGCCGGGATCTGAGCAGAACCACCAAGGGGTGATGGCCGTGGTGGTGGTGGTGGTGAGGGGGGGGTCAGTTGGTGGTGGTAACAGCTTCCATTTATTGAGTGCCCGCTGCATGCCCAGACTGGAACAGGGGCTCTCGTACGCCCGTGGAGTTAAGTCCAGTACCAATACAGTGAGTGGAGCCACCATTACTGTCCCAATTTTACAGAAGAGGAAACTGAGGCGTGGAGGGCTAGTAGCTTGTCCAGAGTGACACAGCTTCCCTGTGGCACCCATGGGCTTGGAAGCTGATTCTGGTGGACTTCAAAGGCCGAGTTCTGCAGGCACCTGGGTGGCTCAGGTGGTTAAGCATCTGACCCTTGATCTCAGCTCAGGTTGTTTTTTTTTGTTTTTTTTAAAGATTTTATTTATTTATTCCTGAGAATACACAGAGAGGAGAAAGAGAGAGAGGCAGAGGGAGAAGCAGGCTCCATGCAGGGAGCCCGACGTGGGACTCGATCCCGGGTCTCCAGCACCACGCCCTGAGCCGTGGGCAGCGCTAAACCGCTGCGCCACTGGGGCTGCCTTCAGCTCAGGTCTTGATCTCAGGGTCGTGAGCTGGACACACTGGGCACCGAGCCTACTTTAAAAAAAGTCATGTCTCTGCCGGTGTTTACCTCTCCGATGTGATCAAGGACATAATGATAATTGTTATTTCCATTAATTGAGAACTTGCTAAGCTCCAAGCATTGTGTTAAGAGCGTTATCTCATGTAATCCTCAGAATAGGTGGACTTCTCCTCCTTTAGAAGGAGGAGAAGAAAGCCAACCCACCCCCATTAAATTTAAATTCCAGTAGTCTGAGGCCCAGGGGGCAGGCACAGGACTTGGCTCCAGACACGGGGCAGTGGCAGGAGCTCTAGACACCCTCCCCCCACAACATCCCAAGGTAGGGATACCAGATTTAACAAATCATAATACAACACCCCAGTTAAATTTGGAAAATAGCAACTAATTTCTTTTTGGCGTGAGTATATCCCATGTACCATTTGGGACATACTTATACTAAATTATAAGTTGTTGATCTGAAATTCAGATTTAACTAGGTCATCCCGCATTTTTTTTTCAGGCACCCTTAGCTCAGAACAATTTGAACTTAGGAAAACATAATGATGCTCATTTTCTGGGTGAGAAATGGGAGGCCTGGGGAGGTGAGCAGCAAGGAGGCCAGGCTTTAACCCCAGTCCCGCCTGACTGCGGACTCTGAACGGGTAAAGTGTGGCTCTTGGAACAGCTGAGACCCTCCAGCAGGTGCAGTGGGTGGGCTCTGTGTAGAATTTCTTTTTCTTTCTCTCCTCTTGGGCTGGATTTGCATTTTAACTGGAGTTGGGTAGAGGTGGGTCTAGGAAAAGCCTTTGCAAGAGTTGTGCCCTTCCTTCCTCCCTCCCTCCTCCTTGCCTCCCCAGATGAAGGTTCTGTGGAAACCTCCCGGAGCCAACACTGGCCGCTCACTTTGGGGAGCTCCAGAGGCTCATCTAAAGGGATGGAAGGGGAGAGGGCCCTGTCAGGACCCTACAAAGCTTTAGGCAAGAAGGAGTTACAGAACACCCCAAAACGATGAGCCAGACAAATGGGTGAAACAAAAGGATGCCTGTGGATATGGAACAATAGTTGAGGCCCTGCCATGAGGAGGGGTTGGGAGGGAGCTCCACGTCCTGCACTGATTAATCAGGTCAGCGGACACTCAGCACACGTGTGCATGTGTGTGTACGTGTGTGTGTAGATGAGACCAAGTCCCCAGAGACAGCAAGAATATGGGACTTGTGGGTGGCTCGGTCCGTGAAGTGTCTGCCTTCAGCTCAGGTCATGATCCCAAGGTCCTGGGATGGAGTCCCAGGTCGGGCTCCCTGCTCAGCGGGGAGCCTGTTTCTCCCTCTGCCTCTGTCCTTCCCCCTGCTTGTGCTCGCTTACTCTTTCATTCTCTCTCTCTCTCTCTCTCTCTCTCTCTCTCAAATAAATAGTTGAAACCTTTAAAAATAGAGGAGGGGGGAATATATTTGAAGCGCTGCCTCCCAGCCAATAGGCAGGTTCCCAAACGAGCAGAGAAAGTGCTGGAGTGACTGCCAAGCCTCAGTTTCCCCACCTGTGGAGACCAAAGGGGCCCTCCTCTGCTGGTGAATCAAGGATTCAAGACCCTGCTTGTAAGTGCCTAGCACAGCGTCTGGCACACACATGGGCCCTTACCACCACCAGAAAGTGGCATCATCTCCACTCTCCACCGAGGGACTGCAATGAGATGACACTTGCCCCTCGGCTCTGCCCTCACTGTCCTGAGGTTTTTGTTTTTTAAGATTTATTTATTTTAGGGGGGCAGAGAGAGAATCGATCCCACAACCCCAAGATGAGGACCTGAGCCCAAATCAAGAATCAGATGCTTCCCCGACTGAGCCACCAGGCACCCCTGCCCTGAGATTAGTTTCGGTCATGCCTTCGCATGGACACTGGAGTGGGGAAGGAGCAAGATCTCCCACACCCAGTGGCCGTAACTGGGAAGCTAACTTCCTCAGGCTGCTGGGCAAATGACCACAAGCTGGGTGCTTTAAAACAAGAATTCATTCTCTTGCCGTTCTGGAGACCAGAGTCCGAAGCCGAGGTAACAGCATAGGCACTGATTCTGGAGGCTCAGAGGGAGAACCCATCCCACGCCCTGCCCGGCTTCTGGAGGTTGCCAACCATCCTCGGCAGCCTCCGCCTGTGGGAACCCAGTCCAGCCTCTGCGTGCCCGTGTCTCCGTCCAGACCTCCCTCCTATAAGGACACCAGTCCTTGGTGTTAGGGCCACTCCCATCCAGTGTGGCCTTCCCCCCAACCTAATTCCATCAGCAAAGACTCTACTTCAAAGTAGGGCCACATTCACAGGTTCCAGGTGGGCATGACCTCGGGGAGGGAGCACCATTCAAGCCAGCACCCCGTCTCAGAGCCTGGAGTGAGGATGAGCTTCCTCTCCTGCCAGAACCACAGCTTCTCTAGAGGAAGCGCAGATAAAGATGGCTAACGTCCTCTGAGCCCCTGCCAGGGGCCAGGCCCGGCGCTTGACACAGAGATCTTGTGTCGCTGAATTCCCACCATGGCCCATTGGGAGACGACAGAAGCTTCAGCTTACAGAAGAGGAAACTGAGGCACAGGCCACTTGCGTGACTGGCCCAAGGGTGCATCAGGAGAAAGAGGCAGAGCAGATTTGGGACTCGGGACTGGAGGTGTCCCCAGCCAGAGCCCATAACCCCACCACCGTCCTGCCAGACCCGGGGGAGCACCACACAGGTGACAGGCTTTGACACCGCCTTTTCCCCCCATTGCAGGCCCGGTACCCCCAGTTCATCAGCAGAGTGAGAGGACGAGGCACCTTCTGCTCCTTCGACACTCCCGATGAAACCATTCGGAATAAACTCATTCTAATGGCCAGAAACAAAGGTAAGCAAACAGGACCGGGAGCCGAGCTTCACCAGGGTCCCAGGTCACCTGGTGACAGCGCTCCTCGGGGCGCCTTGGGGCACGGGCCACCAGGGGGTGCCTGGGGCTGAAAACAGTCCGGGTGCTCTTTCTCAAAAGAAGGGAAAGAGGCCGCCGGGATGTCCTTACACACTCACTCCGTAGCTATTCACGGAGCCGGTGAGTTGCAGCAACACGGGAGAGAACTGAGACGGGAGTGAACTAGACCATCAGGGCCTTTCCTTCAAGGAGCTTCTGGCCTAGCAGGCGGGAACGGGGGAGACAGCGTCCCTAAACCACCGGCTGCAGGTCCCAGCAAGGAGGACGGGGTAGGATGGAGAATCGGGGTGGGGGCGGGGGGGGCAAGCTCAAAGCCAGGAAATCAGGAGAGGCTTCCTTGAGGAGGAGGCAGAGGCGTGTGCAGTTGTCTGAGGCCTGACAGAGCCCCTGGAGGCCGGGAAGCCTCTAGAACAGAGGGTGAGGAGGGGTTGCCAGGTGCACATCACCATGGCCTGTGGAGCCCATCCAAGAGGCTGGGCTCCTCCCTGGGCTGGGGGGAGCCGTGGGGGAGGCTCAGTGGGGTCGGAGTGCATGGGCAGAGGGCCCGAGGTGAGTCAGGCCCAGAGGGCCCCTTTGCATCTCAGGATCCCCGAGGGGCAGGGCTAACCCACCTCCTCCTTAAAGCGAGGAAGTGGGTTTTGCAGGTGCTGTGAGGCCTCAACCAGGGCACCCAGCCAGTCAGTGCGGAAGCCGCCGGACCCCAAATCAGCAGACCCAGCCCCCCTGGGGACAGCCCGGGGGGCCCCCGCACCTGCTGCCTGCCTGCCTGTCCTTCTGTCCTTTCCCTGTTTGCTTCTTTCCTTCCTGACCCCACCACGAGGTTCTGGAAGGCGAGGACTTTGCCTTGGGACTTGGGTCTCAGCGGGCCTGGCTTGGGGCAGCAGCAGGGGCAGCAGCGTAGGCTTGTGAGGTGGGAGGTGGGAGGGAGAGAGAGAGAGAGCCTGCTGGGCAGGTGGGTGGAGGGAGTGCGGCCCCCCCCCCCCCCCGCTGACCCCCTCCTGCCTCTGCTTTCAGGCGTGGTGTTGGGAGGCTGCGGGGACAAATCCATTCGATTCCGCCCCACTCTGGTCTTCAGGGATCACCACGCACACCTGTTCCTCAATATTTTCAGCGACATCTTAGCAGACTTCAAGTAAAGAAGCCATTTCCACTACGCAATGAGAAAGCCCCGATCTCAACTGTTGTCAAATTGATTAGTTTGCCTAATTCATGTCTTCACTTAAAGTATCAGAGGCGAATGTGTAAACTGAAGGGTTCTTGGTGGGGAGGGGATGTTCGTGGTGGCTTGGGGGGGTGGGGGCGGGCGGGAGGGGCTGGTTTTGATTTTCCTCCCTGCAGAGCCAGTGATGCACGTTGGTCTAACCCCAGAAATTCTTGCGTGAGCCCTGGACGTCGTCTTAGGCAGGGGCCGTGAGGGTCCTGTGGCCACAGATTTGCCGGCCTTGACCCCCCACGGTTTCTTTGGAAGCCAGGCAAGGGAATGACAGCTGCTCCTGGGACTGGGGGCTGGGACCTGTGGGTTCCAGTCCCCCTCAAGTGCCATATTCTGTGATGGAGGATGCTGGCCCCCCTCACCCTATGCAGACAGATGTGCTGTCCCCTGCCCGCCTGGCCTTGGAGCCCTGAGCAGGTCCCATGCACAGTTCAGTGAAGGACAGGTCAGATGGCACGCAGGCAGGACAGCAAGGACAGCAGGCTTGAGCTTGCAGTGTGGGGAGGGGCCTGGGCGGCTCTGCTCCGTGCAGCTGGGGATCCTCTAAACTGTGAATTCTGTCCTGGGCGGGGCTTTGCCTCAGAGCATCTCCGGGTGCCATCGGTGGCACTTCTTACCACCCTCCGTTCCCCAAACTCTGTCCCCTCTGTGACCTGTCATCCCAGGCCTCGGGGTGGGGGGCACAGCCTGAGCATCCACAGGGACACGCAGGAGCCAAAAGGTCGGAAGCACAAGCCAGTCGCCCGGAGCGGAAGCCCAGGGCCTGGGGCAGCAGGGCCACCTCCTCCTGCATCCCCGGGCATCTGGGGTCTGATTTGTGGACCCCACGCCTGGGGGCTCTGTCTCTAACTTCTCCTCCACCTCTGCTCCACCTGTGAGCAGCCCCGCAGGATGGCAAAGCTGTGCGCAGCTCCTCCATCGCAGGGAATCCGCCTCTGAACTAGATTTCTTCTCGAGGGAAGCACTGTGCGTGCAGGCGCCAGAGCTCCACGCAGAATAAAGATCGCCTGTTGGTCCAAGGTAGTCTCCTTGTACTTGCCACCCCGGGTGAGAGGTCTTCCCGACGTAAAGGGTACGTAGATTACCAGGCAGATGAGGGCTACGTGCTTAGTTGGACTGGTGCTGAGGCTAAGGGGCCTCTTGTGGAGGCAAGACATTCCTGGAACCGAGGTGACCCCAGGCGCTCCTAAAAAGAGCATCTGGTTGTTCCACAGCAATGGACTGGTGTTGGGTGGGCAGACTTGGGAAGCCTGGCTGCTCTCCCCGCCCGATAGGAAGCGCTCCATCTCCAGGTGCGTGGCCGGCCGCCTCGGGGGTGGACATACCAAGTTTTTCAGTCCAGTACTTTGCTCTCCTAATAACTAATCATTCAAAGACCTCAAGCTGGTGGTGGTTATGTCGTTGTCTCTCTTTTCTGCTTCCACCCTCCAGCAGACTCGGTCATTGACCTATTTCTGTAGAGAATGAAAGGCACCGGCATGTCTAATAGGCACGGTCAGAGCCATGGGCTGTGTGCGCTGTGCATCTCGCAGTCCACGCTAGCCGTTGCTGTTAAGAAGGACTCTGGTCTTGGGCAAGGCTGTCCGGGCGCGCTGTCCCCCTCTCTGTGCACGGTGTCGCTCGTTCATATACCCATCCGTTTACTCTCACTCCTTCATGGAACTTTCGTCAAGCCCCTGCTCCACCCCGGGCCCAGGGCTAAGTACTAGGAGTACAAGGGGAAACGCAGCATAGTCCCTGCTCTCAAGGGACTCCCGTGTCACTGGGGATGACAGACCCTTAAGCCAGCAATCAAAGCCGAGCAGCAAGTGCTGTAACAGACGCGGGGGAAGACGGGGAAATCAGACGGAGCGCCAGTCAGGGTCAGGAGGCTTCGGGGAGACAGTAGCACTTGAGCAGGCTTTTTTGTAGAATGAGCAAGAGTTCTCCAAGCAGACGAGGCAAGGAGGAGGCGGAGGAGTGTCGCAGAGACAGGAACAGCACGTTCACAGACACATCAGTCCACGGTCTCCCACCTTTCACTGGGGTTCCAGATCCCACAGGCAATATCCCAAGATTCCAGGGCCTTATTCAACAAACAAGCCAGATGCAAACCAAACCATAATTCATTTATTGGCATAAGTATGCTTTCTCTGGAGAACCCTAGCGCTGGATGCAGACGCTCGGTTAAAGGTTCCCAGAGTCTGACAGGTTTGCAAGCCGGGCCGCAACCAGAAACTCCGCTCTCTTTGGTGGAGGGAGTGGGCTATACATATTTTGTTCTCTCCCACGGGGCCAGCGTAGAGGAATGACATCCTTTCACCTGGAAAGTCATTTCCAGACTTACTCCTTACCAAGGGAAGTTACTTCTCGTGAAACTTTTTAAGCCATTTATCAACACGCTCTCGTTGGCTCAGGGCATAACAGGAGTTCCCGAGGCATCCTCTCTTGGGGGGTGGGGGTCAAGCTGGAAGAACTTCAAGGCAAAGAACTCTCGGCCCGCCGGGCTCAAGCCTGTAGGGGGAGAGGTGGGTGAGGCGGGGAGCCCAGCCGACAGCTTGCCGCCTGGGGCGGGGCCCGCGGAGAGCTTCTGTGGCCGACGGTCTGGGAACGGAATCCATCTCCATCCGTGCCATAGACTTCAGTAACTATCTCTAGCAAGTCTTGTCACTTTTCCAGAAAACAAGGTCCTGTAATAGCAAGTCTTAGCACATCCTCACTTTTATTATAAATGGGTGTTTTTTTTATAATTTTTACTGACACTCAGTAACCATGCAAAATTGTGCACTACATTAATATACCTGTATATCTGTACCTATCTCTACACACACACACACACACACACACACACACACACACACACACATCAGTTCATGGTAGAGAACCACAGCTAGGGAGTACCGCCGACTTACGCATTCAAAGTGAACTTGTTTACAGTATTCTGGTGACAGTGCCAATACATGATAAAGAAATTAACATGTCACAATGTAACTGATGACCATACGCACAATTCCGTGAATTAAATCTGTTTCCTGTGTTAATCGGTATTCTTAAATTAAAAAAAAAAATTAATAACGGAAGCATCTGCACAAATGTGTCCTCTCTGAGGTTGGAAACAGTTTCCTTAAGTGATTGTCTGGCAAGTACGTATTCAGTACCTATTACAGACCTCTGAGGGATGTCCTGGGGGATTCGTCGGCCTGCACAAGCCTGCCTCGGGCTCAGGAAGCACCGTGAGGCCACAAATTTCACCGGAGCTCGTTGAGGACTTACCATGTGACAGGGGCCCAGGGGTGGACGAGGCATGGTCCCTGGGCTCAGCTCATCCTCTGGCGGGGCAGAGGTCACAGCACCCCACAGGGACCGGAGTACAGGCGGACCCCCGATGCTGTGGAGGCACCAAGGGTAGGCCCCAGGTCGGGGTGGAAGTTCCATCTCCAGGGTCGAGCGGGAACTGTGAGTGACTCTGAGGAGGGATGGAAGGCAGTGTAGACCAAGAGCAAAGCTAACCGGAGGCACGAAGGCAGGGTGAGGGCAGGGCACTCAATGGTGTCACCACAGAGAGACCACAAGAGCCAGAGACCAGACCGAAGAAACGGGCAGGACTCGGCCCCAAAGGCCTTCTGTGCCCTGCTGAGAGGCCTGGCGTTCCCACGCCCTGGTGCAGGAGCTGCAGGTTCGGAGCAGGGGGTCACCCAACACGCTGAGTGCTCCTGTGAAGGACAGGGAGGCCAGTCAGGAAGCGATGACAGTCAAGGTGACGTGGCGGCCTGACCTGGAAGTGGGGTCGTGGGCTCCTACCTCACCGGTGTCCCCTGCGCTGCGTCAGCGGCCGTGGGTGGCTCTGACTCTTCTCACCTGTAAAATGCATGGTGTGGATCATGTGGTTTTGCAGGTTCCTCCCCCACCCCGGACACTCAGCACGTCTATAAAGAAACTATCTTGAAGGGAAGATTTACCATCAAACATATTTTTCAAATAATCACATGGAGTAACGGGAGTTATCATTTGGTGACATCTGCTCTGTGCCAGAGTATTCTGCGGGGGCTTTTTAATTTTCATGACAAACGTACGAGCTATGTACTTGTATGCTTGTTTCTAAGATGAGGAAACAAGCTCAGAGAGGTTGGGGGAACTGCCCCAAATCACACAGCTTGGAAGCCAGGATTTGAAACAGAGATGTATGTATGAAGGATGGTATATTAGTTAAACAAATGTGTGTGGCCGCCTTGGGATCGGGTGAGGAGAGGCACTGTCCCGCACTCCAGGACCTTCGACTCAGCCAGCCTAGCTGCCAGCCCGGCCACCAGCCTTGAACCGGTCAGTGTTGCTGTGAGCTCCTAACGTACCTTCCTTTTTCTTCTTCTTCTTTGTTTAAATATTTTATTTATTTATTTGACAGAGAGAGGGAGCGAGCATGAGTAGGGATGAGGGGCAGAGGGAGAAGGAGAAGTGGGCTCCCCAAGGAGCAGGGAGCCCGTGACTCGGGGCTCGGTCCCAGGACCCCAGGACCATGACCTGAGCCAAAGGCAGACGCTTCACCGCCTGAGCCCCCCAGGCGCCCCTTACCTAAGGCGGGTGGTGGAAGGCGTCAAAACGTCAAGGTTAGAAGCAGACTCTGTTTTCTACTTACTGTTCTGCTTCCCTGCCAGGGAGGGAGGGCGCTGCAGGGGAATGACCTGACTCGGCTGCTTTCTAGCCGGGTGACCCCCAGCAAGTCACTTCACCCCCTCTGAACCTCCTCTGCCAAATGAGGTCGCTGCTAGTGAGGCTCGCGCTAGGACTCAGCAAGTGCTTCCCTGGACCAAGCGTGATTCTAAGTGTGTCCCCAGAAATCAAGCGGTCCTCCCAGGCACCCTCTGGGGGGTGCGGACCGTGGCCATCGCTGCTTCCCGGACGAAGGACCCAGGGCATGAGAAACCTCTAACCGGGCAGTTACCAGGTGGCAAGACACACAGTGTGTCGCATACGGTTCCAAAGAATGATATGTTTCCGTCACCATCTAAAGGTCCCGCTCGTGGATATTAAATCTATTTCCCGAAGCGGATACAGGCCCAACCGAGTCCCGGAGTGGATCTCAGCTGTTAATCAGCAAAACGGATGTTTTGTCCCCAGAGTTGGTACAAACACGGCCTCATGGCCGGGGCTCTGCCTGGTGAATCGGGCCCGATTTTATAGTTGAATGCCACAGGATCAAAACAAGGCCATAAAAGCTGGACTCTGCCTGGGGTTCAAAGGGACCCTATTACTTTCCATCTGGGGACTCCAGTCCTGAAGTCACAAAGCAGCAGTGAAAGGACAGCTCGCACCCCTAGCAGTTCAGCCCAGACCGCACCCCCCAGCCAAGCCCCCCAAGTCAGCTCTGGGAGTGCGGTAAACACGGCCACCGAGTGGCGCGTACCAGGCACCGTGACACGGAGGTCTTATCTTTGTAGCCAGGGCAATAGGACACCAGCTGTGCGATGTCCCCTTGCCACGGCCTGGGGGTTGGTCTGCGGGGGTCGGTCTGCTCAGGTGGCTACCACAGGACGACACTGCGGGCCTACCAGCCCCTGGCATGCTCCCCAGGCACATGCTGCCACCGGCCCCCACGCACGGAGGGCAGGGAGAGACCGAACAGGGAGGCACCCCTGGGGGCGGGGGCAGGGCAGCAAGCTGGGGGCCTCAACTGGGGCAGCCGCAGGAGGGATGTGTCCCACACCTGCCTGCCAGAACCTGAAGAGCTGATGCGGGGCCGTAACCGGGTTAGTGGTGGCTGTGGTAACGGGTCAGGGCTGCGTCCTCAGGTGGCTCCAGAAACACAGAAGTCAAGCGACGCCAACACACACACCAAGGCCAGGGGACGGGGAGGAGCCCCTGACTGCCCGGGGCCAGTTCGAGGGTCAGTAGGCCGGCTTGCCCTCCGAGGCCCCCCCACCCCAGAGGCTGGCGGCTTAGATGGTGAACATGTATTTCTCACGGTTCCGGAGGCTGGAGGGCCATGGTCAGGTTCTCAGTGAGGACGTCTTCCTCGCTACGTCCTCACATGGCCTTCCTGGGGGGGGGCAGAGACAGAGAGCCCCTATAAGGGCCCTAAGCCCATCATGGGGACCCTAGTCACCTCCCTAAGGCCCCACCTCCAAACCCCCTCACACTGGGAGTTATGGTTTCTTTTTTTAATTTTTTAAAGATTTTATTTATTTATTCATGAGAGACACAGGCAGAGGGAGAAGCAGGCTCCCTACAGGGAGCCCGATGCGGGACTCAATCCTGAGACTCCAGGATCACGCCCTGGGCCAAAGGTAGCACTAAACCGCTGAGCCACCCAGGGATCCCCCCCCCCTGCTTTTTTTTTTTTTTTTTTTGAGTTATGGTTTCAACATATGAATTTTCCGGGGGCCTATACACCTTTCGGTCCATAGCAAGCACCACACAGACGGTGGCATGGTGCAGTCCACCCCCTGCCCTGCAGCCCAGGGCCCAGAGCCGCCCAGAGTCCAGGGGGTCTCAGCAGACAGGCAGGAAAACCACTCTAGAAGGGAAAGACATGACTGTCACCCAGTCTCCACGACTGAATGCTTCCCGATGTCAGCTCAGCTTCCGAGGCCAGGATGGGAATTCGTGGTAGAGAAACTTTTCTCTTCACCCTGAAAGTTGACATGAAAGGGATCTTGTCTTTCACTGCATGTTTCTTCATTTGTTAAGATGGACAACACGCTCCTTGTGAAAACGTAAAACCAGTATTAGGTTATAAAGTTGACTGTGGACGCCTTCCCTCCAACCCGTCCACCCCCCCCACCCCCGTCCGTGACCACTGTGAACCAATTAGAATCTCCGGGGTTTGTACAAACACAAAAATAAGACCACATGAAACTATACTGTCCTGTGACTTGTTTGTCCCCTTAATCACTACTCTACGCTTGGTTATCTTTCCGCATCAACAGATAGAGTTCAACCCCATTCTTTTTTTTTTAAGACGTATTTATTTATTTTAGAGAGAGCGTGTGCACGTGGTGGAGAGGGGCAGCAGGAGAGACACTCAGGCTCCCCGCTGAGCGCAGCCTATCTCGGGGCTCCATCCCATGACCCGGAGATCACGACCTGAGCCAAAACCAAGAGTTGGACACTTAACGGACTGAGCCGCCAGGGCGCCCCTCAACCTCACCCTTTTTAAGGGCTGTGTAATATTCCATCCCATGGCTCCACCAACACTTATTTACCCATGCTGCCTACTAACAAAAACTCAGTTTACTTCCACTTTTGTCATTGCTATTCGTTTGTTTTGCTATTAGAGACATTCAGTGAGCATCCTCATAGGTCTGCTTGGGTTTTTTTTTAAAGTATTTATTTATTTAAGACCAACTTAGCAACCGAGCTAGTGAGAGAGCACGAGGAGGGAGGAGAGGGAGAAGCAGGCTCCCCGCTGAGCAGGGAGCCCGACTGGGGCTCCATCCCAGGACCCTGGGATCATGACCTGAGCTGAAGGCAGACGCTTAACCAATTGAGCCACCCGGGCGCCCCACTTGGGTATTTCTATTAGATCACTATTTTAGAATTGTCGTCTAAGTGGGAGAATCACTAATATATCCACCACCTTAATCAAAGGACCCCTTGCATCTCCTGAGAAGCTGCTTTATCATCTGCTGTGTGGCTTTCAGGAAGAGTAAATAAATCTCAGTGATTCTCAAAAGTTGGGGTGCCTTGGAATTACCTGGGAAGCATAAAAATACAGATACCCGGACAGCCCGGGTGGCTTGGCGGTTCAGTGCAGCCTTCCACCCAGGGCCTGATCCCGGAGTCCCGGGATCAAGTCCCACGTCTGGCTCCCTGCATGGAGCCTGCTAGTCCCTCCACCTGGGTCTCTGCCTCTCTCTGTGTGTCTCTCATGAATAAATAAATAAAATCTAAAAAAAAAAAAAAATACAGATAGCCTGGCAACTACTAGAGTGTGCAGGGGCGGGGACTGGTGGGTTTCGTTGACTTTGCCGGTGTCGATTCGGGGGAGTTTGGATGGCTCCAGGGTTCGGCCTCCCGTGTGCTGCAGGAGCCCCGCGGTGGTGGAGGTGCCCAGGGATCTGGGCCGCCAGCTTGCAAGGAAGGGGATGGAGCGATGCCTTTGCCGTGTGTGCCCTCTGCTGGTCCTGTGCGAGCAGACCACACACGGAAACCCAGGCTCTTTGGGGCCAAGGCTGTTGAGAACGGGGCTCCCACCTCCAGTGCGGTGACGACGCTCCAGGGCAGCGCCGGTCAACCCAGGCCACATGGGAATCGCCAGGGGACCCCTGACAATGGCAACGCCTGGTCATGGGCCCACACAAGGATTTTTTTTTTAAAGATTTTATTTATTTATTCATGAGAGAGAGAGAGAGAGAGGCAGAGACACAGGCAGAGGAAGAAGCAGGCTCCATGCAGGGAGCCCGATGTGGGACTTGATCCCGGGACCCCAGGACCAGGCCCCAGGCCGAAGGCAGCGCCAAACCGCTAAGGCACCCGGGCTGCCCCGCAAGGATATTTTTAAAAAGCTCTCCAGGTGATTCTGTACGCGGAGCCAAGAGCTGAGAACCACTTCTTTGGGGAAAAAAAAAAAAAGTTGGCCCAGGAACACGAGGTCCCCGAAGGCAGGAGTTGACTCTGCTGTTTTCTGCCCTGATGGTCTATTTCTGAAATTCCCAGCCTGGCTGCACTTCAGAATTGGCTTCACACTTGTCAGAAAGACAGATTCTGGGGACCCATCCAGACAGAACTGAATCTCCAGGGCCGAGGTTCACGCAGTCGCTAGCTACAGCTAGACCAGCCCCAGGGGTTATCCAAGTTCACTCCTGCCTTTAATGAGGTCCGAGTCCAATCATTAATACCTATTAAGACTTTTGATAGGTAAAGACTATCTTTGGGGAAGGGGGTTCACAGTCACGGAAGGAGCTGGCAAGCAGGTGAGGGAACCCTATGGAAAAAAACCCACAGCCACACGGAACTGCTATATAACAGACTTCTCTGTGCAACAAAATCTTCACTACAACGTCTTGAGCATGAATAATAAGCCCCCTTACACCAGGGAAGAAACTGGAGAGACAAGAGTTCTATGCAGACATCTAGGCAGAGAGACTGTCTCTGCCTGGACGTGGTCAAGGGCAGAGTCGTGGAGCAGGGAAGACAGCTGGGGTACGGGTGGGACCAGACCACGTTAGGCCTTGTTGGCCATGGTAAGGACTTCAGTTTTGGGTTTTTGTGTTTTTTTAAAGACCTTGTTTATTTATTTGCCACACACAGAGAGAAACAATGAGAGCACAAGCAGGGGGAGCAGCAGAAGGAGAGGGAGAGGGGGAAGCAGCCCCTCCCTGCTGTGCAGGGAGCCCAAAGATGAGGGGCTGGATCCCGGGACCCTGAGATCATGACCTAAGACGAAGGCAGGCGCTTCACCGGCTGAGTCACCCAGGCGCCCCAGGACTTCGGTTTTTACAGCAGTGATGTGATTTTTTTTTTTAGGATCACTTTGGTGATCTCAGGGTCCTGAGATGGAGCTCTGCATTGGGGCACCATACTCAGTGGGGAATCTGCTTGGGGATTGTCTCTCCCTCTCCTCCTGCTCACATTTCCTCAATCTCTAAATAAAATAAATAAACGCTAAACACACACACACACACACACACACACACACACACAGGATCACTTTGACTGCTGTGAGAACAGACTCTAGAAGGGGAAGGATCATGGAGGCAGCAGGGCACAACAACCCAGAGAAGACGTGAGGGCGATGTGGATCAGAAGGGCCGGGGTGCACAGGTGAGAGGTGGCCAGCTTCTGGTCGTATTTTGAGTCAGCCCCAAACAAGAAGGCAACGGAACCACATGCCGTTTCCCCTGAAAAGGGGTCGAGGCCCCCCAGGATGCCCAGGCTCTGGGTCAGGGCTCCACGAGTGTTCTTCTGCATGCAGAGCCCTTGCATCTGGGAAAACCAGATAGTGGGTGGGTGGGTGCCCAATGTCCCCAGACACCTGAGGAACACAAACACACACTCCCCAGACTAGGGTCTCCAACCACTGGAATCAAATCCACAAACCTCCGACCTCACATCTGCATCTTTACTACAACAGAGTACAAATTACCAAGTGCTGATTCTTCTTCGGGGCACCTGGGGGGCTCAATTAAGGAAGCATCTGCCTTCGGCTCAGTTCATGATCCCACAGTCCTGGAATCGAGTCCCACATTGGGCTCCCTGCTTCTCCCTCTTCCCCCCCGACCCCAATAAAAAATAAAATCTTTAAAAATAAAAATTAAAGCTCCCACAATTCCTCTCCCCGTTCTTGCCTTTCTGACCCTGCAGGCTTTCCCCAGGTGTTAGGATCAACCCCCCCACCCCCAGCATGCACACCCGGCTCTTGCTCTTGTCCCCCACCCCACAGCTCTCGGTCACCGAAGGCCCCCATACACTGGTTCACGTCCATCCTCCCTCCCCCAGACTCCTCCAAAGCCCCCTCTTCATGGCCGGCGCTGAGCAGGGCCTGGCATGAGAGATTTGCGCAGAATGAAGGGCTGATCTGGAAACTTGCAGGAACAGACGGTCTTGTGTTATGGGCTTTACTCACGTCTGTGAAATGGAATAAATTAACTACGGAAACCTAACTTCTTTCATGTTAGTGACTTTTCTCAAAATGCCATGTTGTGTCTAGGGAGAAGGCTCTCTTCATACTTGATATGCCACTTTTTTTTTTTTAAGGGAGGGAGGGCGGTGTGTGTGGGGGAATAGGGTAGCAGAGAAGCAGGCAGGCTCCACGCCCGGTGTGAGGCCTGACCCAGGCTCCACCCCACGACCCTGAGATCATGACCTGGAGCTTAACCCAGAGCCCCCCAGGCGCCCCATGATAGGCCACATTCTTTTGTAACAATGGGTGGAAAATGGAAACGACTTACATAGTCAAGGTTAAGGGAAGAGCTGCATCCACTCCGTGGAGTATTTCGCAATTCCTGAATTTGTTTCTACGCAGATTATTTAAATGAAAAAATTCATATAATTACCTGCACTTTTTATTTTATTTTTTTAACATTTTAATTTTTTTTTTTTTTTTTTTATTTACGATAGTCACACAGAGAGAGAGAGGCAGAGACACAGGCAGAGGGAGAAGCAGGCTCCATGCACCGGGAGCCCGACGTGGGATTCGATCCCGGGTCTCCAGGATCACGCCCTGGGCCAAAGGCAGGCGCCAAACCGCTGCGCCACCCAGGGATCCCGCACTTTTTATTTCAGGTAAGGTACGCTGCCTGTTTTCCCCAATTCTACGGAGATCTAATGGACATTCAACACTGTATCAACGTGCACAACGGAAGGATTTGTATTTGCATTTGCGTGTGTTGCACAGGGATTACTACAACATGGTTAGTTCACAGCAGGCATGTCACATAGTTACAAGGTTTTTTCCGGTGACAGAATATTTTTAATGGTTTAAGACAGTCACATGTTACGTGAAGCAGAACAACCCAAACGGTTCCAGGGACAGGACATCGCTGTTTTTAGGGAAGCCTGGCCGTGCAGGGAGACCCCGCTGCACACCCATGAGGATGGCTGTCATCCAGAAGACAGACCTGGAGAAACTGGAACCCGCATGCATTGCTGGAGGGACATAAATTCACGCAGCCACTGGGAAAGTTCAGCAGCTCCTCGGAGAGTTAAACCTAGAGTTCCTGTATGATCCAATAATTGCACTTCTCACACTTGAAGGAACTGAAAGCAGGGACTCAGATTTCTGTCCACCAGTGTTGACAGGAACGTTACTCACAATCCAAACGTCCAGGGCAGCCCGGGTAGCTCAGCTGTTTGGCGCCGCCTTTGGCCCGGGGCCTGATCCTGGGGTCCCAGGATCAAGTCCTACATCGGGCTCCCTGCATGGAGCCTGCTTCTCCCTCTGCCTGCTGTGTCTCTGCCCCTCTCTCTGTGTGTGTCTCCCATGAATAAATAAATAAAATCTTAAAAAAAAAAATCCAAATTGTCCATCAACGGATAAACAAAATACGCTACACGTACATTCTTCAGCCCCAGAAAGGGACGAAGCTCTCCTACACGCTACAGCATGGATGCACCATGAGACCAGAAGGTCAGCCGAAGGAAGCCGGACATAAAAGACCACACAGTGTAGGATTCCATGTACAGGAAATGCCCAGAATAAGCAAATCCAGAGACAGAAAACGGGTGAGTGGTCACAGGGGCCAGCCGGAGGACGAAATGGGGAGCGATGTTTAATGGGCACAGAGTTCCTCCGAGAGATGATGAGGGAGTTCTGGAGATGGGACAGAGAAGGTGGCCGCACCACATTGTTATGTACTTTAACGCCACTGAACCTTATGCTGAAAGGCGGTTACGGGGAATAGATACATTTACGTTACGCATATTTTACCACAATAAAAAAAGCCTGGAAGTCCGTCCACACAACAAAACATTTAGTTACTGACTTCTGGGTGGCCGAAGTATAAAGATCAGGTCCTCCTTCTGCTTTATTCCGTCAGAGAGCATAACAAACACTAGGAGTGACTGCAGGGAAGGGCAGCGCATACAATAAGCTGCAGTTTATAACAAAGCCCTGCGACAGGAGGGCCCCCAGGCGTGGGGGGGGGGGTGCTCACAGGGTGACACCCATCCCAGGGGCTGTGTGGTCACCATCTCGGCAGTTCCTTCCCAGCCCTGAGGGGAAATCCCCACCAGCAGCCTGGAAGCCTGGCACCACACCGACCTTGACAGTGACTGTACTCTCACTCCCAGCCCGTGAGACAGGCAGCCTTTCCCTTTCAAGGATGCAGACTCGACAGCCTGCCCCGGGACAGGGGGATGAGGGATCACAGCACCCAAGTGTTCTCACACCCAACCTCCGGGCCCCCGCCTCACCTCCCCGCCTTCTGGTTCACTGCATGAACCCACACCGCTTCCTGCAAGAACTGGCCGTTAGCAGAAACTTCTCCCATGACCTGGCTCCATGTCCCAGGCAAGCGTGGGATGAATTTGCACTAAGGACCTCTCATAAACCCGACTACTCGTTCCTGCCCCATGAACCTCCGCATCCCAGAAACAAGGCCCTGGAGGCCCTGGCAAAGCCTTCAGCTGCCTGACCCCGTTCTTCGGCCTCACCCACACCCTCAGCCGTCCTGCCGGAGATCCGGGCAGCTCATTTGGGGGTGTCCAGTGTCCCAAACACCCGTGTGAAACGTTCTCTGTCCAAGACACGTCCGTAGCGCAGAGTGAGATAGAAGGTCTGCTTCCCACTGTACTGCTGGATACGCATAAACAGCTCCTGGGGCCGGTCGCTGGTCTCTGTCATGGGCACCACATCAGCCACGGGCCAGTCCGTGTCCTGCCGCCGGCCCCAGAAGGTCAGGTGGGCCACCCGCAGCATGGTGCACGCCTCGTTCACATACAGGATGCCCACCAGCCTCCGGAAGAAATGGCTCATCCAGCAGAGCATGGCCAGGGCGAAGCCAGCTATCCCGCCCGCAAAGTACAGGGAGCTGAGGGTCATGAGGCCGTGCGAGTACCAGTAGAAGCCAGGCGGCAGGGCTAGCAGCGTCAGCGCCGTCTGTGCCACCTTCAGCCGGGACAAGTACCCAAAGGTTCTGATAGCATCAAACCGGTAGATGATCTGGAATTTCTCTGCCTCCGTGCCTGCTGCCTTCTCCTTCAGGGTGGGGGCCCTGCTCCCCAGCCACCTCCCAGGATCCTGCCCGGTGCGGCACCACAGCCCGCAGATAGGCCTTCGCCATGCAGCTGCTGGGCCTGGCAACCGTGGCACAGCTCGGAGGAGGGCAGCCTGGAAGGGAGAGAGACCGTTGCTTTTTTGGAACTCAACCATGAGAATTGCAACATAAAATATCTGCAGAGCATCCTACCTAGAGATTCCTGCCAATCCTGTGAGGCTACTACTATTGCCAGAGACACGGGGAAAGATGCTTTAAACTCGTGTGATCTTCACACAAGCGGTGCCAGACAGGTGCCCCTACAGTTGACCCTTGAACAATGCAGGGGCTTTTGGACACCAGCCCCCCACGCAGTCAAAAATCCACATGTAACCTTCCACTCCTCAAAAACTCAACTACTAATAGCACAGTGTTGACCAGGAGCCTTACTGGTAAGTCAAATAACACGTATTTTTTTGTTACGTGTATTTTATACTGCATTTTTACAATAAAGTCAACTAGAGAAAAGCATGTGATTTTAAAAATCATGAGAAGGGCACCCGGGTGGCTCAGCCGTTGATTGTCTACCTTCGGCTCAGGGAGTGATCCCAGGGTCCCGGGATCGAGTCCCACATTGGGCTCCCTGCAAGGAGCCTGCTTCTCCCTCTGCCTGTGTCTCTGCCTCTCTGTGTGTCTCTGATGAAAAAATATATAAAATCTTAAAAAAAAAACACACAAAAATCAAAACCATAAGTACCTTTACAGTACTTCACTGTATTATCAACACCATTAGGTTTACCTTGTTTACCAGATGGAACTATCAGTACCTACGTTGTTTTATACACAACATATAAGACACTGTGGATAGTATACACGTTACTAACACTAGACACAAAAAAAGAAAGATAATAAGAAAGGGAAATTTCTATTTATTTGTAAGGACAATGATTCATGGATTGTAACAGAGAAGCAGTAATAGGGTTGCTTTATGACAGCCTAGTGTAATCGATAATACTGTTTCCCAGGAGCCTCGCCTGTACACTAATGAATGAATCATCCTTATAAAAGTTTTATGGCACACAGGGTTACAGTCACTCATAATACAGTATCAGAAACACTGTTCTTTAAAGAAAAAAACGACTTAGCTGTGATGATAGTCTGATATGCATTTTCTCCAATTATAGGAGGAGAGAGAGGGGGGCGGGAGGAGGGAGGGGGTGAGGGGCATGCGTCAGGGCAATGTAAATCTTTGAAAGCAAAGTTACCAAACCCTAAGAAGACACGGCGTTAATTTTATATTAAATACCACTCGCCTTCGCCTCTGAGGCTAGGCTACCCATTTCCAAAGGAGTCTTGTACATGATGTTGTGCAGGATGAAGACCCAGGGGGAGGGCGGCAGGGGGGACAAGTTCTTGCCGCACAGGGACTAGATTTTCACGTGAAGACACACACGGGATAAGCAAGTTTAACTGTGCGGCACGAGGACTACTTACTACGTGGAAGTGGATCAGCGGGAAGGCCTTCATCCTCCTCACCATCTCCCCGCTGAGTAGGCTGAGGACCAGGAGGCAGAGGGGCTGGCCCTGGGGTCACAGGGGTGGGACAGGTGGAGGAGGCTGAAGGGGCAGGCAGGAGAGGCAGGCACGCTTGGGGTAACTTTACAGAAATATATTGTAATCTCGTCTGACTTTTCTGCTTTTTCATTTCTCTGAAGATGATTCTACAGGATACCAATCCCCCTTCCACCACCTGCTTTAGTCTCAGTGCCCATATCACAGAAAGGTCCATGTCAGAAAAGAAGTCGAAAGCTGTCTTGAATAATCGAAACCCTTCTGCCAGGTTTTCTGGTGTCAACTTGTTTTCCGCCCCTGCGTCTTCTACACCCCCCTCACCTGGCCCTGGTCCACAAGCTCTCATCTCCACCAAGGCGCCCGGGGTGAATCCCTCTGGCGTGGTGTCTATGGGTTCTTGAGGTGGGAACTCATTGGTGGTCTCTTGGTTGGCAGAAGCTGCTTCTCCCGCTCCCGGACATTTTTTAAGCCAAACTTCTTTCTAAAATTATCAAACCATCCTTTGCTGGCATTAAACTCTCCAGCTTTAGTTCCCTCACTTTCCTCTTGCTTTAAGTTGTCATACAGCGACTACGCTTTCTCTTGAATCATATTAGAGTATAGGGATGCCTTTCTCATAGCAATCCTGCACCCACATAAAAGCAACATTTTCAGTACAAGATAAAAAAGCGTCTCGCAAAAAGTGCAAGGTTTTTGTGCCTGCGGTCGTGGCTTTCTCGACGGTTTCCCGGACTTCCTCTTCTTTTTTGACAATGGCCTCTACGCTGGATTCGTTTATCTTGAAATGATGGGCAACAGCAGCCGCAGACTTTAATTTACTGTACATATCGAGCAATTTGACTTTTGCTTGTAACGTCATGACTTTTCTCTGCTTCTTGGGAGCACTTCCGGAATCATGAGCGGCGTTTCGTGTGGGTCCATGGTGTTATTCAAGGTTTACGGTATTGCACTAAACACCATGAAAAATACGCGAGAACCACAGGATCACTTCTGCCATTCAAATTGGCGACAAACTGCTTGCGTGGAGACGATGAGCAGCGCACACCGTTTTAAGCTCATACCACACCTGAGATCACCAACAGGGGGTGGCTGTGGGATTATTACAGTAGAACGGGGCGTCCTGTCGTTTAATTTTATGCGGTCAGTATTTATGACTGCATCTGTTTGTTTTCCTCGACTGTGAGTGATGCCGTGCACAGTCTGTAAGGGTCTCTGTGCGTTTTGATGAACTTTTTATAACAAACTTGTGCATACTGTATGGCAGCAAATAACAAACTAGTATCTACATGTATTCTAGGCACTTGTGACATACCTAGCTTGCTTCTTATTTTTATAGTGTTTCTAGGCTATGCCGTTGGTCTGGCGGGTTTTTCAAATTGCTGCAAATCTCCAAAATATCTTCCTTCCAATGTATTTATTTTCAACAACCCGGGCAGCCGGGGTGGCTCAGCGGTTTGGCGCTGCCTTCTGCTCAGGTCGTGATCCGGGGTCCTGGGATCGAGTCCCACGTCGGGCTCCCTGCCATGGAGCCTGCTTCTCCCTCTGCCTGTGTCTCTGCCTCTCTCTCTCTCTGGGTCTCATGAATAAATACTAAAATCTTAAAAAAAAAAAAAAAAAGCAATCCACACAGAAGTGGACCCACAGGATGCAACCCCGCATAGTTCACGGGTCAAGGGTACTTCCACTTTACCAGAGGGTTAGGCACAGAGACGGTGAGAGGTTTACCCAAAGACACACAGCCAGCGAGCGGCGCAGGGGCTGGCTCTCAGACCGGCCCCCTTCTCCGCAGGCAGCTCCAAGAGGCACAGGAGAGGTGGCAGGGCCTGCGTCCATCCGGCAAATACCTGGGGGCCGACTGCGGGCTGGGCCCCGGATGCACAAGGCCGTGGGAACGTCCTCCCCGCACGAACCTCTGCGACACCTGTCGTGAGGCCTCCTCGGTTCTCCGTCCGGTGAGAGCATCCTCGTGGCGGCTGAGGGGGAGCGCTGCCTTCCAGGCCCGGCTGGGGAAGGGCGGGGGCGGGGGCGGGAGGCGCCAACCCACCGCACGAGGGTTGCGTCCGGTGCGCGGCTCCCCACCGGGGCTGCGAGGCCCGCCGCCCTGGGGCCCGGCCCCGGCTCCCACGGTCCCCGGCGGGGGCTCCCGGGGCCTCCCCAAGCCAGACGCGCTTTCGAAGGCAGACGGGCGGGCGGGCGCGGCAAGCCTCAAGCCACGCCGGAGCCCGCCCACGCGCGGACTGTCCGAATCGGAACTCCAGGACTCGCCCTGCCCCCCGCCACCCCGAGAGCGCACCGCCCCCCCCCCCCCGCAGTTCCCGCACTTCCCACCACGCGCGCTCTTACCATGGCCGCGCGGACGCCGCCGGAAGTGAATCCCCTGTTGCCCCGGAACGTCTAAGGGCGCCTAGCTCGGCCGTAATAGGACGCCGGGTGGGCGCGCGTTGCATCCTGGGATTTGTGGTTCCAAGACGCTCTCCGGCGCGAGTCCCCGGCACTGTGGGAGGAGAAAAAAAAAAAAAAAAAAAAGAATCCTCCTCCTCCTCCCAGCGTGCCCCGCGGCGCGGGGGAGGAAGGGGCCGAACCCGGAAGTTCCGGGTTGCCGACGAGTCCCGGATGGAAGGCGGGGACATGGCGGCGTCCGGCTCGGCGCTGTGCCTCTTCGACGTGGACGGGACGCTGACGGCCCCGCGGCAGGTGAGGCGGCGCCCGGCGGGGTGCAGAGCCCCAGGGTGCTCGGAGACACGGGACGGGGGCCGGAAAGCCTTTGAATTCAAAAAAAAAAAAGTGGATGGGGTTGGAAAAGGCAGCTCCGGACTCTCTCCCCGCTCGCGCTGCATTCGAACCCAAGTCAGCGCCCCCCGCCGCTAGCGGCGTCCCGCCCTCAGCCCTGTCGCCTGCGAGCTGTCTGAGCTGGACCCTGTTGACAGCACGTCGCTTAACCTCTGAGTCTCAGCATCCACGGCTCCACGTGGGGACCTTCCCGGTGCCGTGCGGGGCTCTCGCATGAAATGGAGTAAATTCAGGAAAAGCCTCTTGGGCGCAGTAGGCTGTGCTCCGTAACAGCCCGTAAGCGCTGCCGCCGCCGCCGCCGCCGCCGCCGCCGCCGCCGCCGCGACCCTTCCCCACCCCGCTCCGGCACGAGTGATGGAGGGGACCTGCGTTTTCCTCTCGCCGCCCGCTGAGAGCCTCCTTCGACTCTCGGGAGCTGGCTTCCCACGCCCGGGTCTCGGCCGAGGTCGACCTTTGCGGCGAGGCTCAGGCTCACACCAGCCCTGGCGGGGGAGCTGGTCCCTGAGCCGCAGACTTGCCACCCGACCCGAGTGACCTCACTCACGGCCTTCGCAGCCTCTCCCCGCTCTCTGCATTTTGGCCAGAGGGTGGCGCCGGTGTGCTCCACACGTTTCTGCACCAAATACGTGTGATTTCACACGACATCACTTAGCCTTTCGTTTTCCTCTTTAAGATTTTATTTACCCGTTCATGAGAGAGACAGAGACGCAGGCAGAGGGAGAAGCAGGCTCCCTGCAGGGGAAGCCGATGCGGGACTCCGTCCCAGGACCTGAGCTGGAGGCAGGCGCTCCACCACCGAGCCACCCAGGTGCCCTCGTTTGGCCTTCCCCCTTTTTTTTCTTTTTTTTCTTCCCCCGTTTGGCCTTCTTGAGCCACAGGTTCAGTGTCGCTCCTAACCACATTCAACTGCAAGTTATTCAAAGGCCTTTTCTGCTTCAGAGGCATTGGCCGGCTCGCACCTGTGGACGGTTAGAAGCCCTTGGCTATCTGGAGCCAGAGTCAGCAATTCCTTGTTTGTGAAGGGCCCCGATACCAAAAAATTATTGTGTTTGCCGACCACGTGGTCTGTGGTAACTGCTCACCTTTAATGCAAAAACGGCCGTAGACCTGATGTAGACACAGCATGGATGTGTTAGAACTTTATTTAGGGACGCCCGGGTGGCTCAGCAGTTTGGCACCTGCCTTCAGCCCAGGGCCTGAACCTGGGGTCCCAGGATCAAGTCCCACATCAGGACTTGAAAAAATCTTTTTTAAAGTTTTTATTTAGTTATTCATGAGAGAGGAGAGGCGGAGAGGCAGAGACACAGGCAGAGGGAGAAGCAGGCTCCATGCAGGGAGCCCAACGTGGGACTCGATCCCAGGACTCCAGGACCATGCCCTGGGCTGAAGGCAGGCGCTAAACTGCTGCACCACCCAGGGATCCCCCTGATTTATTTGTTGTAAAAACAAACAGCTGCTCACTTTGGCCCATGGGCTGTAATGGTCTAGGGTTCACATTCCAGACCTTTTTACTTGACACCATTGGACCTTCTCACCCTTTCTCCTTCTTTCATCCCACAGATTAAACTCCCAGATGGAAGGGTAAACCTTTTAAACATAAGGAACCCGAGACTCTGTGAAACTGTGACCTTGATTTCTCACAGCCCATCTGGTACAAGCCTCTGGGCCACTGGGCATTGTTATTTGCTAAGTTGGCCATTATCTGCCACCGCTCTCAGATGGAAGCTGCGCTGGCTGCTGGTTATGCCATTTCCGGAAGGTGCTTAGGTCTCCCAGAGGGAATCGGGATAGATAAGCAGGAAGTATGAAATAGCAAAGAAACCTGTGACGCATTTCCTTAACACATTTGAAACATGATATTCCTTGCAGCAAACAATTTTAATACTGGAAAAAAAAAAAAAAGTCTAACTTAAAGAAAGGAGATTGTTTCTGTGTGCTGGGTGTTCCAGGTAAAAAATAAAATTATTTTAGCAACAGGGCTATTCATTACACAACCTTTCCCCCTCACCCCCCAATACATATGTTCTCAAACACTGATAAGCATATTACAATCCGGAAGCGGAAGAATGGGTTATCTTGCAGGTGCTGAAACACGATACAGTATAAACAGGGGTAAAACACAGGTAGAACAGAGTCCACAACTTCACACATCTCACTATTTTAGTAGAATATTCTTGTGCCGAGTACTTTTCCTAAGAAATGCCATTCCCTCCAAAAAGCTGTTGAGACTTAGAACAAAAGGCTGCAAAAAGAAGCAGTCATAAAGCTTGAGTGAATTGTTTTTAGCTTTATGTCATAAAAAATTCAAACACACAGGGGCGCCTGGCTAGATCACCCCATAGAGCATGTGACTCTTGATCTCAGGATCGTAAGTTGGAGCCGTGTGTTAGGTGTAGAGATCACTTGAAAATAAAATCTTAAAAAACTAAAATAAAAATGTTTAAAAATGTCAGAAGTACAGAATTACGGAGAACATAGTGTGCAGAACAACTATATCGCCCACACTTAAATTCAGTAACAAATGACATGAACTTTCTCTCCACCTTTTTCTTCCGCTGTATCGCTTCCAAAGCCACGGTCATCATTGTGCTTCACCCCTGAGTATTTGAGCCTGCATTTCTTGAAGGCATCATGATGACCCTAGTGCCATTATCACCACTGACAGAGATTGTCATCCATTCCTACATATGATTTAATGCCCCAGTCCAGCAGTTGGCAAACATTTTTCTGTAAAAGGCTGAAATTCACCTTCAGAAGGTGAATTTTTAACATTCTTTGACCTCAGTTTCAAGTTTGTGGAACTTTCTTCATTTCTCTTTTTGTCCAGGATGCTTTATAAAGAATTCCTTGTGATTACCAACACAGGAGTTGTTTGGGACTGTCACAACAACTTCGATGTGTGACTGTTTTGCTCTAAAGATCTCCCTGCAGTGGGTAGTTTAGATGCTCTGTTGTGCTCACAAGCAGCTGGGTCTTATTTCCTGTCAAAAAACTTTTGCTGCCACTTGGAAATGAAGAGGTGCCTTCTGACCCACACACATTGCAGACACATCTGATGGTCACAATACCACAGAGCTCATCAGTGCACAGGGGTTCAGATGAAATAAATTGCAGGGATGCCTCGGTGGCTCAGCGGTTGAGCATCTACCTTTGGCTCAGGTCATCATCGTGGGTCCTGGGATCGAGTCCCACATTGGGCTCCCTGCATGGAGCCTGCTTCTCCCTCTGCCTGTGTCTCATGAATAAATAAATAGAAAATCTTAAAAAAAAAAAAAAGATAAGTTGCCACTTTGGGTTCTGCTTGAAAATGGAAGTATTGCATTTTTAGTGTTTTGCAATCCAGAGACTCTTCCCCACTTCTGGCCATTCTAACGTCAGGAGTCTTCCCCGCATCCGGCCATCCTGACGTCAGGTGTGAGTAAGCCACTCTGGGGCCTCTGGGACCCATTTTCACCGTCATTGATTCATAGAGGCTGCCTGTGCACTCCTAGATTTTATCTGCTAAGTCAAGATTCCACTGGAAGATGTAGAAAAGATTGCTTTGTTATAAGCCTTTTTGTGTAGTTTTATTCTATGTTTGTGTTACTCTAAAACAGTTTTTTTAAGAAGAGAAGATTGCACTCTAGATGTTTACATATTGAAGTTGTGTTTTTGTTTTTAATTTCTGCTCACTTCATTTCTAAAGATACCTCCTGTGAGGGCCACCCGGCTGGCTCAGTCAGTGGAGCATGTGACTCTTGATCTCGGGGTCATGAGTTCAAGCCCCATGTTAAGGGTAGAGTTTACTCTAAAAATATTAATAAAGTAGGGCATCTGGGTGGCTCAGTCAATTAAGTATCCTACTCTTGATTTTAGCTCAGATCATTCAGGGTTGTGAGATCAAGCCCTGCCTCGGGCTATGCACCTGGCATGGCACCTACTTAAGATTCTCTCTCTCAAAAAAAGGGTGGGGGGGCGGATCCCTGGGTGGCTCAGTGGTTTAGCGCCTGCCTTTGGCCCAGAGCACGAACCTGGGGACCCGGGATCAAGTCCCGTGTCGGGCTCCCGGCATGGAGCCTGCTTCTCCTTCCTGTGTCTCTGCTTCTCTCTCTCTCTATGTCTATCATAAATAAATGAATGAATGAATGAATGAATAAATAAATCTTTTAAAAAAAGATTAAGTATTCCCCATGTGAATGTATAATTCACATTGCTAAAAGTAACAAAATAACCGTAAAAAACAAACTGGGATTAATACAGGGATATCTTGTCATGTTCATGATTTCTTTTGAATTAGTGCACAGTTTGGACTTTAGCATAAAATTATACCATTGAGACCACTATTGATAGATAGGAGCTTTTCTTTTATGAGAGGCTAAAAAAAAAAAACCTAGTGATCTTACTCTTGTACTTAATTATTTTTAGTTTTGTATGATTAATCCTTTTTTTTTTTAATTTTTTATTTATTTATGATAGTCACACAGAGAGGGAGAG